GTGTGACCATGGCACCTGCCATCACTTATGGGTAAAGGAACCACCAACAGTCTGGGCAGGTCAAGGCAGCACCCGAATGTGCATTCTAAGCAGGATGTGGGGCGAGCTGATTTGCAACTGGAAGGGGACAGACTGGGCAGGGCTGAGAAACCTCAACTCACAAGGAAGAACAGAAATCAGGATGGAGCACAGGTCATGCTGAGCTAGGCTTTTATACTCACTGGGCTGCTTGAGGGAGGGATACTAGGCTACAGCATCGGAGGCAAAGGTTGAGATAGGTGAGGGGCCATGACAACTGGGTCAGAGCAACCACTGGCACACTCATAATCTAGGGCTGGGAATAGGCCTGGTTGGGGAGCTGTGAGATTACACCCTTGCTGGGTTGTGGTTCCCACGAATGAGTGCAGGGGTTGGAAGCGGGGCTGCATTTTGCTCTGCATATGGCTGCAATCTCCCTTGGCACAAGTGTGACCTGGGGCTGATTTTACCTAGCCAGGCTAGACTCTAGCACCATCTGGTGCTCTGGAGAACCAGGACTAGGCTAGGTCTCTGCCCTTACCGAGCCATGTGTGAGCAGTGTCTGGGTATGGACAAGCTTTGGCTGGGCTGAAATATCCAACAGTAAGAAACAAAATGGGTTGAAGACCAGCAAGGAAAACCCGCTGTTTCTGCTAGGACAGGAGGTGGACTAAGTAGGGCTGGCCCATGGACCCGCCAGTATGTGCAAGATCTGGCATAGGGAGAGGTTCTGATGGAGGAGCTTGGGAAACTCCTCTGCCAGGACACAGTCTCCGCAGGTGAGCGTAAGAACCACGATAGGGAGCAACCCAGACCAGGCCAGAGAAAGATACGCACCGGCATACATTTGGCATAGGTTGGGGGCAGATCAGGCTGAAACAGTTCACATCTCCAGCTGGCGAATCTGAGCACCAGAACAGAGTGTGGGTCGGGCCAGGTTTAGCTGTGACACAAACCAGTGCACATTGTGGAATGCCAAGGTGAGGTGAGCTGTACCAGATATGGCTGCAGCGCCCAACCAGCACACGTGAGAACCAGGGAAGGAGGGGACAAAGACAGCAAGGGGAATGTGGGCTCCCCTGATGGCCAGCCACTCCCACTGGAGAATGTGAGTTGGGATGGGAGCAGACCAGACCAAACAGGGTACAACACCTGTGGGCCTCATGTGAGCTGGATCAGGGAAAAATCAGGTTGGGCTGACTGTTCCTACCTGCAAGCATAAATTAGAGTGGGTGTGGGTTGGTTGGGCTTTGCTGCAGCATCAGCTGGCAAATGTTGGCACTTGGGGGCTAAATCTGTCAAGTTAACCTGCAGAACCACCTGGAGAGTACATAAACTGGGAGTGTGGGTGGCCTAGTAGGGAGATAGTGGGGTTCCTCCCTCTTGGGTTACAACTCCCACTGGAGAGCATGAGAACCAGGACAGGGGCAGGCATGGCTAGACAGAAAGGCACCTGCCAGTATGTGTGTGGGCTGGATAGTAGGGCTGGTTGGGTTGAACTATGCTTCAATGCCCATTGACATGTTTGAGAGCTAAATGGGATGTGGCACGGACTGGACCAGTCTGCGGTACATAGTGGCAAGCATGGGATCCAGGGTAGGCAGGCCTGGTTAGGGTCATGGGGAGTTGCCCCAACTAGGCTGCAGCTCCCTTTGGTTTGTGTGAGAGTCGAATATGAAGTGGGCAGGATCGGGCTGGATTGCAACACCCATCGGTTTGTATGGAAGACAGGGTGTGCTTGCCGGACCCTGTACTGGCAAGCACACACAAGAATCAGGTCTGAGATCACCTCAGACAAAGTTTCTTTGGAGATTCCTCCAACTGAACTGCTGATCTCGGAACCCCAACCATGAAGAAACTATGTCAGACAGTAGATTCTGAATAGATTTCATTGTGCTTGGAACGCCAAGAAGGGCAGCAATTCAATACTGTTGAACTATCAAAACTGCTTGAGCAGGACCCTCGGAGCATGCCCTACATCGGGGGCCTGGGATGGGTGGGAGGCTGGGTGGGGCATCTCCCTTTGTTTCTCCCCTGACCCCAGATACAGAAAAAAAAAATTGTGTTAGTGTGGAAACAATGGTTTTACCCACTTTCCTATGACCCTTGACCCTTCATACCCTAATCAACTATGTAAGATTATCAAAATAATAATAATAATAATAATAATAATAATAATAATAAAAGATCCTGGCTTTCAATCAGCTCAGTTATGAGCTCAGTATGGCTACTGTGGACATTTGGGGAGTGAATCAGCAGATGGAAAATCTTTCTATTTCCATCTCTGTATAAATCTGCCCTTTCAACAAAAATAAAATTTAAAAAAATCTGTATATATTTATAAGAAGGAGGGAGTGAATGGGCTTGGCATGATGGCTCCATGGCTAAATCCTTACCTTGCAGGCCCAGTGCGGTAGTATATTGGCTAAAATCCTCACCTTGCACACCTGGGATCCCATTTTTTTAAAAAAAGATTTATTTTTAATTTTTATTGGAAAGGTGGATATACAGAGAGGAGAGGCAGAGAGGAGCGACCCGCAATGGCTGGAGCTGAGCCAATCCAAAGCCAGGAGCTTCTTCCGGGTATCCCACGCGGGTGCAGGGTCCCAAGGGTTTGGACTGCTTTCTCGAGCCACAAGCAGGGAGCTGGAAGGGAAGCGGGGCTGCCGGGATTAGAACCGGTGCCCATATGGGATTCCGGGGGTGCAAGGCGAGGACCTTAACCACTGCGCCACCGTGCCAGGCCCATTTTTTCGGGGGGGGATCCCATATTGTTGCCAGTTTGTATCCCAGCCACCCTGCTTCCCATCCAGTTCCCTGCTGTGGCCTGGGAAAGCAGTAGAGTATGGCCTAAGGCCTTTAGACCCTGCTCCTTTCTGTATATCTGGCTTTCCAACATTTTTTTTTTTTTAATTTTGAAAACTACATACATATTTTTGCTTTTTAAAAAAAATTATTTATTTTTATTACTAAGTCAGATATACAGAGAGGAGGAGAGACAGAGAGAAAAATCTTCCGTTCGATGACTCATTCCCCAAGTGAGCGTAACGGCTGGTGCTATGCCGATCTGAAGCCAGGAGCCAGGAACTTCTTCCATGTCTCCCACACGGGTGCAGGATTCCAAGGGCTTGGGCCGTCCTCGACTGCTTTCCCAGGCCACAAGCAGGGAGCTGAATGGGAAGTGGAGCTGCTGGGATTAGAACTGGTGCCCATATGGGATCCCAGTGCGTTCAAGGCGAGGACTTTAGCCGCTAGGCCATGCTGCTGGGCTCATACATACATATTTTTCAAAGGAAATATATTTCAAAGACAGAGTGCTTTCATTGATGGTTCATTCCCCAGAGGTTTGTAACAATGGAGGTTGGGTCAGGCTGAATGCAGGAGCCAGGAGCTTCTTCTGGGTCTCCCATGCTGGTTAAGGGACCTAAGTATTTAAGCCATCCTCCACTACTTCTCCCACATTAGTGGAGCCAGATTGGAAATGGAGTTGCTAGAATACAAACTGGCGCCTGTATGGGATGTCAGCATCGCAGGCAGTGGCTCAACCCACCATGCCACAGTGCCAGCCCACTTTGTCCTGCAGATCCTGTGTTCCCAGGCTGTCAGAAGCACAGCTGCTTCTCCGCCGTGGATCCCCAGCTGACCGCTGATGACGGCCTCCGGGGTTGTTCCTTCCAGTCTGGGGTCCCAGCCTCACTGGCCCTTTGAGGCGTTTTGGATTTTTCTTGTATTTCACCCACTTTTCTAATTTTCCCATGATAATATTGGTCAGATGCACTCAGACCACTGTGTTTGGAAGCAGACACTCCCACGCAGGACATGCTCAAGCCCATCACTTCCCTCATGCAAGTTTCTGAAGCCTCCTCGATGTGAAATGATAGCTTGCATCCCCACTGTTGGTGGTACAGCCAGACTGAGTCTTGGACCTCAAGATTGCTAGCCAGTGACGACACCTGTGTAAGCGCTGGCTGTAGGTTTTTTTTTTTGTTTTGTTTGTTTGTTTGTTTGTTTTAGATTAACTTATGGGGCCAGCATTGTGGAATAGCAGGAAAACTGATGCCTATACTGCTAGTATCCCATATGGGCGGCAGTTTGTGTCCCAGCTGCTCTCCTTCGGATTCAGTTCCCTGCTAATGACCTGGGAAAAGCAGCAGATGGCCCAAGTGCCTGGGCGCCTGCTTCCCATGTGGGAGCCCTGGCAGAAGCTCACAACTCCCAGCTTCAGTTCGGCTATTCCAACTATTGCAGGAGTGAACCAGATAAAGCTCTCTCTGTTACTTTGTAACAAAACAACTTATTATTACTCATTGGAAAGGCAAGCTGCAGAGAGGGAGGGAGACAGAATCTTCCAGGCACTGGATCACTCCCCACACAGCTGCAACAGTGGGGGCTTGGTCAGAACAAAGCTGGGAGTCAAGTACTCCCCCTGGAGCTCCCATGTGGGTACAGGGCCTCAAGCACTTGGGGCATCTTCCTTGTTTTCCCAGGAGCATTAGCAGGGAACGGGTCTAGAAGTGGAGCATCCAGGACTCCAACACTCCTAGTGGATGCTGCAATCAGAGGTGGCAGCTCAGCCTACTTGCTGCAACTCCAGCGCCCTAAGGGTTTACTTCTTTTTACTGAAGAAGGAAGCCTTGCCAAACGGTCAGCGGGTGGAGGAAATGACTCAGCCCTCAATCCGTACTTTGTACATTCCTTTCCCAGACATACATTCCTCTCCTAGCCCTGAACTCTGGGGCAAGCAGGAGATATGGAGTGATGGGACCCAACCCAGGGGAATGGAAGTATCAGTACTCTCCAGCCGAAAGCAGGTCCTAAAAGTTCCCCTGCCATGAGTCACACTTGAGCTGTCCACAGTTGATTCCTAACACCTGCATGTACCTGCCTTCAGTTTCGTCTCAGGCCTCCTCACAGCAGGAAGCAGCCTGCACTCAACCCCTCCGTCCTATCTCAGATGACAAACAGCAAGGCACGCTCACAAAGACCACACGATTTATTTACAAAGGCCAGTGTGGGCGCAGGGCAGGGAGGGAGGGAAAGCCACAGAAAGGTTTCCTCCAGCACTGCCTGGGACCCATGCCTACTTGGAGCCAAGCCCAGCTTCCTCCTGCTTCCATATTCTCTGCCATGGGGTCCTTCAAGTACAGGGGGCCAAGGGGCATGACGGGGAGGTGACAGCGGTCTCATCCACAGCCCACAGGAGAGCAATGTCCAATTCTGGATCAAAGGCATCACTGCCACCCTCCCCTCTCTCCAACAGAACTTTCTGGGCTGGGGAAGAGATGCAAGAATTAGAAGGGCAGGGATCAAGATGCCAGAGGCCACTGGCTCTGAAGGGGAATCCCTCTGCTACTCCTCTATAATATCAGGGGAGGGGTGATGAGGGTGCTGGGCACAGCCCTGACTGCTTGGGGAGACTATGGGGTAGCACAACATCCCAAGGCTTGGGCACCTAGCGTTGTTGGCTGCTCACTTCTCTCTGGTGGGACAGAGTTCTGAGAGAACCAGCACCACCCCCTCAGGAATCCATTCGGATTCCACTCCCCTGTCCCCCTGCCAGGCCGGGGCCTGCTCTCTCCAGAGTCCTCTTTGCCAACAGTCTGTCCCGGCTTCCAGACCTTTCCCAAGCTGCTGCTCTCATGTCCCTCCTCCAAGACACCCGCCTTTGCCACTGTGTCATGCAGTCTCCCACGGGCTGCTCCAGGATTTGGGAGTCCCTAGCCCAAGGGTTCTGCCTGGTCCATCTCTCCCTTCAGAGAGGGAGGGAGGGCATCTTTCTCCTCTCCCTGGAGGCCCCTGTGGAGTTCATGAAAAAGTGCTGGGTGAAGAACACACAGGAACAAGGGTGGAGGAGGCAGAATCACAGGCAAATTCTACCATTGGCTGGGAGAGGTGGGACATATAGAGGAGGAGTTAGCAAAGGTGAACGGAAGACCAAATCTTAGAGAGACTGATCCATGGCAGACTGTGTCTGTGAATCAGGCAGTTGGGTCCCCCCTTGCCTCTGCACCTTCTGAGAAGTTGGAAGGTTCCAGAAGGAGCTGTGGGGCAAGGGGTAAGGACAATAGGCCAGACTGGGAGATGCTTTCCAACAATTCAGCTCCAGGAGAGAACATTCCATTGGAGATGCAGACAGGCCCAGGTGGGGAGCCCCTCCCTGCTTCGAGTCACACTGGGAGAAGACAGAGGGACAGAGCCATGGGAGAAGCAGACGCTGGCATCGGAACGGGGGAGAGGCGGGCGGCCTGGAGCCAGGGGTTAGGAGAGCTGGGAGCCCAGGAGTCTTTCAATAGCGGCGTTGATGTCCCCTCCTGTGGCAATCAGGGCCTGCAGGTTGGCCTCCCGGTTGATGAAACCCATGGAGTTAAGCTGCTCCAGTTGCTGCTGGAATCTCACTTCTGGCGTCTGCACCTGAAAGGAGACAGGTCTCATGATGGGGGCGCAGGACCAGAACCCCAACGGTGTCCACCTACAGGTCTCGTGTTCTGAGTCAGATGGTAGGTAAGAGCGGGTGTGAGCCTGGCACCTTGTGGCAGAGGAGTGGGTGTAATAACAACACAGGGAAATAGCTTGAACATTTCAAAGCCCGGCTAATGTGGGGTGCAGCAGGTGAAGCCACTTGTTACACAGGTGTCCCATATAGCAGTGCCGGTTTGAGTCCCAGCTGCCCTGTTTCTTATCTACTTCCCTACCAGTGTGCCTGGGGAAGTAGCAGAGGATGGCCCAAGTACCTGGGCCCCTGCACCCACATGGGAGATCTGCACGAGGTTCTGGGCTCCAGCCCCAGCTGCTGTGACCACATAGGGAGCTTGTTTCCATGAACAGCTCGTTTCTTTCTCAAAAGAAAACTCAAAATAATTTTTTTAAGTTAACTGACAGACCTACCTGGGTTTATGTTCCTAACTACCTTCCACAGACTCTTGGGAGATATCACCCAGCATTCTCAAAACCAAGTGCTCTGTGGTTCAACAAGATGTCCCCTCAAGTCACATAGTCACACTGAGGGCCACGGAAGGGAAAAAGCTGCTTAATTGTGTCTAACTGCTCAGCGGACACAGATATTTACAAAGCGAAGGCTTTCCATTTTGGATACTAATAAACATCTCTTGGAGGTGTTTTTGGGAAACACTGATTTAGTTCATGAGCAAAACACATGGTAGTATGGCATAGTAGGTCAAGTCACCACCTGCAGTCTGGGCATCCCATATGGACACTAGTTCGAGTTTTCACTGCTCCACTTCCAAACTGGCACCTGCTAATGTGCCTGGGTAAGTAGCGAAACAGGGCCTAAGAACTTGAGCCCCTGCCAAACACATGGGAGATCCAGATGGCGCTCCTGGTTTCAGGATAGCAGAGCCCCGGGGTAGCAGCCATTTGGGGAATAAAACAGCAAGTAAAAGATCTCACTCTGTAACTTCTAAATAAAAAACAAAACAAGCAAAAAAACAAAAGACTGGGAGCCAGGAAGCCAGGAGGGGCGCAATAGTCAGAGTCGACCTGGCTATAGAGTCAAATCTTCTAGAGAAAGAAAGTGGGTACAGCAGCAGTCTGCAGGGATGGCACCCCACCTGGTGCCGGTTAAAATCTCATCTACTCCATTCTATATGCTGAGACAAGTGCAGCTGTGGCTGTTGTGGCCATTTGGGGAGTGAGCCAGCAGATGGAAGATTTTTTCTCTGTAACTCTGTCTTTCAAATAAATAGAAAAATAAATAAATATATATGTTTTATTTTTACTGGAAAGACAGATGTGCAGAGAGGAGAGAGAGAGAGAGAAAGATCTATCATCTACAGGTTCACTCCCCCAAGTGACTGCAACGGCCAGAGCTGAGCTGATCCAAAGCCAGGAGCTTCTTCCAGGACTTGAAGCAGCCAGGACTTGAACTGGCACCTATATGGGATGCTGGTGCTCAAAGGTGGAAGATTAGCCTATTAAGCCATGGCACTGGCCCCAATAAAAAGCAAATTACAACAACAACAACAAAACAAAAACAACAACAACAACAAAAAAACAGGGAGCAAGAGAGCCCAGTGCAATATCTTAGTGGCTAAGTCCTTGCCTTGCATTTGCTGGGGATCCCATATGGGCATCGGTTTGTGTCCTGGCAGCCCCACTTCCCATCCAGCTCCCTGCTTGGGGCCTGGGAAAGCAATGAAGGCCAGCCCAAGCCTAGGCTAGGGAACCAGCGCACCCAAGTGGGAGACCTGGAAGAAGCTCCTGACTCCTAGCTTTGGATTGGCTCATCCCCAGCCATTGTGGCCACTTGGGGAGTGAATCATCAGATGGAAGATCTTCCTCTCTATATATCTGACTTTCTAATAGTAATAATAATAATAATAATAGCGAGAGAAAGGAAGGATTCGCCTAGGTCACAGCAGGGCAGCCACCATGGCCCCCTGATCTGCAAGGCAAAAGCCTCATGCAGTGCTCCACGTGGCTCCACCAAGTTGAGGCCAGAAGATGGACCTTGGGGATCACCTAGGCCAGCCCTCTCACTACCTCTCACCGAGCTGACTACATACACTTTTGCCTTTGCAGATGAATCCTGGAGGTCAGAAGAAAGTGAGGTGGCTCCCCCAAGGTCTCCTCTCTTCCTTCTGGTGCAAGCCTTGGCCCTGTGGCTCAGGGCTTTCTCCACCCCATCTCCCAGCATCTTCCTCTGAAGCCCCTGAGGCTGCTTTAGCTCCCATTGAAGTCCTATGACACAAGAGGCAGAGGCATGACCTAAGGGGCCCAGTGCTGGTGTGGCTTTCAGCTCTATGACCTATTGGCTCTGGGACTAGGCTAGCCCCAGAATCTCCCGGGCCCCATTGTACAACAGCAATAACAGCAGCCCTCTCACCGAGCTATAGTGGGGAAGCAGGCAGGAAACCTCCATCTGGACTTCACCATAGTCCCTCTTTTAGTCACAGACCCTAACCTCAGATTATCCATAATCTGCCCATGCTAGTAAGTGGCAGACCAGGACCCCAAAGCCTGCCCAGCTATCTGCAACCTACCTTCCCGATCCCAGTGTCAATGGCTGCGTACCTGTGAGTTTCCACTTCCTGCCAAAATCTGGATCATCTGCTGCATGAGCTGCTGCTGGGTACTGGATGTCCCCGTGGGAGAGGAAGCAGCAGGTGCCGGGGCTGGTGAGGAGGCAGGGGCCTCGGGTACAGACCCTGTGTTGCTGCCTGTGGTGGGCGCAGTGGTCCTGGACATCCCGAAGGACCCAAGGCTGCAGGCAGGAGGGCCCAAGAGATGGGAGGAGACGTTAAAGAAGGGAGAAAACATCAGAGGCTGGAGGGCATGCAGGAGCAGAGAGGGTACGGGCTTGGAGACACGGAGGCTGCGCAATGAGAGGCAGAGAGGTGGGCGGAGGGAAGCAGATGGGCAGCCAGACTTTGCTGTTTGCCTACCCCCTCCCTCACCTGGGTACCAGGCCGGGGGCCTCAGTCTGCAAGGTTTGCAGACCCTGTTGGATCTGTAGCAAGGCCTGCATGGCGCGGGGATTGGTGAGGATGGACAACGACTCCGGGTTCTGCATCTGATGGGACATAAGCAGAGAAAAGGGCATGGAAGGAAGGGGGATGCTTGAGTCCACAAGCAAGCTGATTCCTCCCTTGATGTCCACCCACCAAGGGCGCCCCCTCACCTGCTGCAGGAAGACGGGGAGCTGCAGGCGGAGCTGCTCCTGCAGCTGGGGGTTCCCCGCGAAGAGCGGCACATTCACCATCATCTGCCAGGGTGAGAGTGGCAGGGGAGGCCTGGGCTTCAGCCCACCTCCCAATCACTGTAGGAAACTGGGCCAGCTTTTTCCAAGGACCTCAAAGTCTCCTGAAGGCCTCAGTGGGTCAGGAAGAGGAAATGGAACCACCAGGGGTCGGGCTGACGAGATCAAGGTCACATGACCACGCCCACAGCCTTGGTCAGGACTGTGTGCTGTACCACGTTCTATGCGCTTGACATGTCTTAGCGTGTTCAGCTTCACAGTTCTACTAGGCAGACACGGCTAGACTGGAATCTTCACAGGTGAGGAAAGTGGGAAATAAAACCATGCACTGGGCTAGGAGGCAGGAGAGCCTGAGCTACAAAGCCAGGCAGTTTGCCCAGCATGAAAACTACCCTAGGCCCAGAGGAAAGCTCAACTTTGCCGACTCTCCCCTTCCTACTCCCACCCTGGCTGCCCCTGCTCCCCAAAGCCAGCCTGATACCTGGGCAGCAAAGTCGGGGTTCTGGGCGAGTGTCTGCATCATGCTGCGCATGTAGGGGGCTGAGATGACGGTCTGCATCAGCTGCGGGTTTTCGGAGATCTGTTGCAGCAGTGCCTGCATCTCCGGGCTGTTGAACATCCCTGGCGCGGGGTGGGTATAGAGGAAAGGTGGGGGTGCAGATGGAAATCATCTCACGGATCTCCTGACTCCAAGGCCATCTACTCCTGCTTTGGCCTGGCCCCTCTCCTGTCTACGCTGTCAAGGAGAAGCTGGATAGTAAGTGGGTTGACTGACACCCCTCTGGAATGTCCCTGCCACCAAGTCAGGTTGTGCCTGAGTTATTTGGTCCTCCCCCTTCCTGGGGATGGTCCAGACCCCACCCTACCCCAAACGTCCCCATTCTAGGACTCAGGAGCACAGTGTTAAAGTCACGATCCAGTTTCCAGTCCTGATGTCATTAATAAGGAAACAGGAGCAGAGATGGGACTTTCCTAGTCAAGATGTCCCCTAGGGGGCAGAGAAATCAGGGCATTGACTAAAGGTCTACCCAGGGCCATATGCATGGCCATCAGCTAGACAAATGTGTCCCTGGAACACCCTTCCCTCACCCAGGGCTGTGCAGTGTACAACCTGCACCTCGGTACATGACAGCCCTGCATCTCCGTCTCCCCCAGCCTCCCATATGTCAAGGTTGGCCCTGATTCTGCTCCAGCCTACATTTCCAGTTTGACTCATTTACATGAGATAGAACTAGAGGTATCCATGGTGATTCCTGGTTTACTTAGGAATCATTACTTAGGACATTCTTGGGGGTGGTGGTGGGGGCAGGCACCAGGACATGGCCAGAACCTACGCTCTCCTCCAATTGTGCCACTCTCGCTAGTTGGAGAGCCCTCAGTAGCTTCAGTACGGCCTCACCTCTGCCTTCAACTGGCTGGAGCAGTGTGTACCCCAATCAGTCCTGTGGCAGATACCCCATTAAGCTCCTTCCACCCCAGGACATACCTGACCCCAGGCTAGCAGCATTGATCCCAAAGGGGTTGGAGACTGTTGGGTGCACCTGGCTGGTCCCCGATCCTCCGGTGCCCTCCCCACCGGACCCGGGGGCCTGGGAGGTGGGGGGCGAGGGGCTCCAGGGGTTAGGGAGGGGCTCTCGGTTCTCAGTCCGCAGAGGCTGGGAGGACGAGCTCTCGGAGTTCCCGGTCAGGGAGGAGAAAGGATTGTTGCCAAACTGGGAGGAGCGAAAGGTTTTGGGTTAGGGACTGAAACAAACCAAGATAAGGGCCAAGCCCTTTGTCTCCTCTCACCCACCGCCTCCCCTTCCCCAGGAAAGGGAGATCCACGATGTCAGTGTGGGGGGGTCCTTAGCTTGGGATCCACCCCCATCACGGCCAGCTCTCCCTTCCCCTTATAGGGTGTCAGCTGACCCACGTGGAATGCTGCATGAGAATCCTCCTGTTTCTCCTGCTGGCTCCAAATACCTGGTCCCCAGACCCCTCCTGAAGCCCCTAGTGCTCAGCACAGCCTTCCTGTGGTGTGGCAGGAGACTTGTTTTCCATTTACCTTTGCACGCTCAGCCCGACACTAGCAGGTACCCAATAAGGAGCTCCTGGTTTGATGGGAAGACTCTCTGACCTGTCTACTTCAACCCCCATCTGCTTCCACTCCCCCCGCCATCTTGGTCCAACCTAAATTTCCCAGCATCCTCTGCCTGACCCTCCCCAGATCTTCTGAATGAAACACCATTCCCTAGCGGAGCACACTTCTGTAGGAGGATGCATGCCCTAAGTCTTCCCGCTCTAGCCCAAGCCTATGGCTCCTCCCCATGTTCACCCCCACCAGGGGTCACCTCAGCTCTGCACCATGGGATGCTGCTGCTTGGCCTCCACAATTCCTGAACCCATGCCCTCTGGATTCTGCCAGCCAGGACACAGCTCTGTTCCAGGCCTTGTCACCTCGTTACTCAGCATCCTTCAGCACCCAGAAGCTGTTAGGTGGTCCCAACCCAGGTAGAAAAGATCTAGGGGTGAGGAGATCTCAACTCCTTGCCATCAGAAGGCCTAATAACCAGTTGGTTTGTCTATTCAAAGGGAGTCAAGGGGCCCAGGTCTGGTCACAGGATCTCCTTCTCCTCGGAGCTGTGGCTCCTTTGCTGGCTAGATGGCCACCCAGAGAACAGGGCTCCAGGCTAGCGGTTGTGTCCCACGCTGTTAGTCCCATTGCCTGCTGCAACGAAGTACCTGGCTCTGAGCCCTCATCTCCCTGGGTCACCCCAGGTGATGACTCTCTTTTCCTGAATTACCAATGGTAACAACAGCTGCCATTCACTGAGCACTTACTATACGCCTGACACATTTCTTCTAATGTGGACAACACCTCTCAGATACATCAGCCCTTCAAGTGTGGTCCTAGGATGCCCACGAGGCTGACAATTGTATTCCTAGATTTGAGATGTTAATTGGCCTTCTTCACTCATGTTCTCTCAGGAGGACACAGCAGAGTTCCCCAAAGGCTACTCCAGCACATAACACTACAGTTGGATCTGAGAAGCCAGCCCGCTCCCAGCAGGTCTGCCATTAAAGAGCCGTAAAAATGCGAGCAACGGCCCGGCACAGAAGCCTAGTGGCTAAAGTCCTCGCTTTGCATGCTCTAGGATACCATATGGACACTGGTTTGTGTCCCAGCGGCCCCACTTCCCATCCAACTCCCTGCTTGTGGCTTGTGAAATCAGTCGAGGATGGCCCAAAGCCTGCGGACCCTGCACCTGCGTAGGAGACCTGGAAGAAGCTCCTGGCTCCTGGCTTCAGATTGGCTCAGCTCCAGCCATTGTGGTTGCTTGGGGAGTAAACCAGCAGATGGAAGATCATCTTCTCTGTCTCTCCTCCTCTCTATATATCTGCCTTTCCAATACAAACAAATAAATTAAAAACAAAATGCAGGCAGCGCAGTTGTTGCTGCTAATGTTTCATTTGTTTTGAAGAATACAGTGATTTCCCAAAAGAATTTTAAAAAAATTATAATGAATTGTTTTTAAGTGCATTCAGCATTTCTTTACTTTTTGCAATTTTAATCTTTGATATTGGGAGTATCAATAGATAAAACCCATAAAACCAAAGCTCTTTAGAAGCATACACATTTTTTTAAAGATTCATTTATTTGAAAGTCAGAGTCATTGAGAAAGAGACAGAAACAAAGAAAGAGCTTGCATCTGCTGGTTTAATCCTCAAATGGCTACAACAGCCAGAGCTGGGCTGGTCCAAAGCTAGGAGTCAGGTGCTTCTTCCAATCAGCCTTGGAGGTGCAGGAACCCAAGCACTTGGGCCATCCTCCACAGCTTTCTCAAGTGCATCAGCAGGGGACTGAACCAGTGCCCACATGGGATGGCAGTGTTGCAGGGGTTGGCTTCATCCACGACACCAAATCACCAATCCCCATATACAACTTTTAAGAAAAGAAAGAGCTGGCATTGTGGTGCAGTGGATTAACCTACCTTTCCTAAAGCGATCATCTGCTGCCGCCCAAATGCAACAGCAAAAGCTGAATCAGAAGCAGAGGTACACTTGGGACTTATCCCAGATACCCTGATAGGGGTGGTGGATGTCCCAGGGGGCAGGTTACTCCATTATACCAGAACATCCAACTTCTAAAACTGTGATGATGGGAAATGTGTATTACCAAAAAACAAAGAAAAAACTATGCATAGATTTGAACAGTTTTTACACCAAAAAAAAAAAAAAAAAAATCTCATTCCTTAAGCTATTTATTTATTTATTTGAGAGTTGGAGCGACAGAGACAGACAGATATACACACACATTGAGAGCTCCCATATACTGATTTACTCTCCAGGTATCTACAACGGCCAGGGCTGGGGTGGACTGAAGCTGGGGGCCAGGAACTCAATTCAGGCATCTGCTGTGAACGGCAGTGACCCAACAGCTTGAGCCATCTCCAATGCCCACCAGGGCACATGCGAGCAGGAAGCTGGAGTTACAGACACAGATGTCATGATATGCTAAATGCTCACCCTGAAATTTCTCTGAAGTCCATTTGCCATGAATTTGAAGTCCTCAGAGCAGTGGTTATCTCTAGGCAGGACAGAATGGGGACGGATGCATAGAGGCAACAACTCTACTTAGAACGTCTTCTTTACAAAAACTACCTATTCTATGAAACCACACAAAACACCAACATTAGTCACTGCTGGGAAGAAAAGCAGAGGCGAGAAGACAGAAAGAAGCATCTTTGGGGGTTGGTGTGTTAGTTCAATGGCTAAATCCTCACCTTGCAAGTGCCAGTATCCCATTTGGATGCCGATTCAGGTCCTGGCTGCTCCACATCCCATCCAGCTCCCTGTTTGTGGCCTGGGAAAGCAGCTGAAGATGGCTCAAAGCCTTGGGACCCTGCACCTACGTGGGAGACCTGAAAGAAGCTCCTGGCTCCTGCCTTCGGACTGACTCAGCTCTGGCCATTGCAACCATTTGGAAAGAGAACTAGTGGGGACGAACTTTTTCTCTATCTTCCCTTTTCTTTGTAAATCTGCCTTTCCAATAAAATTTTTAAAATTTTTAAAAAATTAAAAAAGGATCCTTTTTGTGGGGCTGGTGATGTAGTGCAGCAAGGTAAGCCACCACTTGTAAAGACAATTATCTTCTATCACAGGATGCTGGCTGCTTGACTTCCAATCCAACTGCCTGCTAATGCATTTGGGAAGGCAGACGAATATGGCCCAGTGTTTGGACCCTTGCCACCCATATGGGAGACCAGAATGGAGTCCTTGTCCCCTGGCACCAGCCTGGCCCAGCCTGGCCTACTGCTGTAGCCATTTTGGGAGTGAACCAGTAGATGGAGGCTCTTGCCCCCTCTCTGATGCTCTACCTTTCAAATAAATAAATAAATCTTTTTAAAAAGGAATCCTTTTGTATGTTTTTAAAAGCTTGTATGCTTTTCTTTTTTTTTTTTTAAAGATTTATTTTTATTATTTTTTCATTGGAAAGGCGGATATACAGAGAGAAGAGACAGAGAGGAAGATCTTCCGTCCAATGATTCACTCCCCAAGTGAGCGCAACGGTCAATGCTATGCCGATCCGAAGCCAGGAGCCTCTTCCGGGTCTCCCACGCGGGTGCAGGGTCCCAAAGCTCTGGGCCGTCCTCGACTGCTTTCCCAGGCCACAGGCAGGGAGCTGGATGGGAAGCGGGGCTGCCGGGACCAGAACTGGTGCCCATATGGGATCCCGGGCATGCAAGGCGAGGACCTTTAACCACTTGCGCCACCGCGCCGGGCCCAAAAGCTTGTATACTTTTCTATACTTTTGGAAATTTATTTTGCATAAAGTTTGGATTTTTAAAACACACAGATGTATATCTCTAATGTAAATTTAAAGTTTAAAAAAAAGCAAGAAAGGTACTGAAAGGACATATGGCAATGTGTTAGGGCAACATAGACACAAGATGATGTTGCGTTTTTATCTATATTTGGATAAAAATGCGCACAGCAAACAAATTTATAGCAGAATCAAACACACATAAATCTAGGCCCAGCCTAAAAAATGGATTCATTATCCAGTTCAAAGGTAGAGAGCAGAAAACATCATTAACAAGTGCCTTGTAATTCCAACACAGGTGACCTATGGACCACACTTGAGATGCCATTCTAGGGTTGCCATTTGACCCTATGTCTGCCCCATCGCCTCTGAGCACTTAGGGCAAGGAGTCTTCCAGAAAAGCCTCGCACTTCTTGGACACTGTGCCGTACCACTTTCCTAGGGACCTGTCCTATGTTCCACCCTCCTGTCTTAGTCATTGCCAAGTTGGTCTATTCTTGGTTAAGCACGAATGAGAGCTGCCTCCACGTCAAGGCCACCCCTCAGAAGACTGTGAAGCAAGCAGGCACAGATAGCATCCCAGGCCTGCCTGGGTTCGATCCCCCTCCCCGCTGTCCCAGCCCCTTGCCCCACCTGTTCCCGGGCAGCACTGAACATGGGCTCCTGGATGTCTGTGTACATGCGCCGGAGGGCATTGTACCCTCCAGGGATGCTCTCGAGGTTGCTCAGGGCCCGGTCCTGGTTCCGCATCATCTCTTGCATCATGGCAGGATTCCGGGCAAGTTCCATTGTCTGGTGAAGGGAGAGAGACAGGATGGGCCCTGGAACCAGAGGAGCATCTAGCTAGAAACACAGTGGGCTCTGTGGGGCAGACTCTGGGTCTGGGACCAGACCTCAGGGCCCAGCAAGTGCCTCACCACACAGGCCAGTGGCATGCACTGTGCCTCTTTCTCCTACTATATCCTGGGCTCCTAGACTGCCCCTTGGGTGCTATCCCTTTCTAATGAAGGACAATGCCCCAAAAGGGCAGCAACTTTTCCCCCTAGTAGAACTTCAAAGTTTCAGAGAGCACAAGCAGATGGAATGAGAAAGAACAACAAGAGAATAGAAGGCACGAGAGAAAATGAACATCTATTTAATTGTCCAATCCACACTGGCCCAGGGCCAAGTCATCTACAGAATTCAAATTCCCCTGCTGCCCACAAAGGGGTATTTCTGTCCCAAAGGCTCAGGGCCAGTAGCTGTCCTGCTGCCCTGGGACACCAGGTCTGTAGCAGGTCATGGTGGTCTGTCTGATTCAGGTCATAGGGGACTTCTAGTTATTGATGATGAGTTAAGAAAAGATTTGAGCTGGAATAAGGCTCCCATTGTCCTGGAAGCCTCATGCCTGGCCTGTGGCCTGACAGAAGCCCTCTTCCTCCACGGCCACTGGCTCCCTGTCAACAAGGCTGGATCAACCCCTGCAGAGAATATGAGTACAGCGCCTCCTGGTCCCCATCCAGCAGCTTGCCCCTCCTCTCTCCTCTTTCCCAAATTTGTCCCACGCTTGTCTCTTCTAGAATCCCTTTACAGATTAGATGGAGACCCAGCCTCACTCTGGTCCCAAAATTCACCCATTCGGAAAGTATTCATCCAGCAACCAGGCGCTATAATAGACGATGGGCAAAACACCTGTAAACCTTTGTTCGACTGTGAGTTCTTTTCTGGTGAGTCCAGCCCTGCTGCCCACAGCCCTGTGGGAATGCTCTTATCCCTGTTCCCTCTTAGACTTTACCCACAAGGTGAGGGCACCCAAAGACCAATGCCACATTGACCTTGTGTGTCTCCCATCCTCCCACCCCAGGGGCCAGCTCAGCCACCACTTTTCCCAGACAGCCATGCACCTAACTCTCCGAGCCTTCCCTTGGTCCCTCTGTGACCTCAGCTTGGTGACACTTTTTCTCCAAGCCTCAGGGTAGGTTCAGGATTCCTTCTCTCTGTGAGTATCCCTGTACCGTCAGTTGTTATAACTGCACATGTGCCAGTCCCATTTCCCTTTAAGGCTCAGAGTTTCCAAAAACTCAGGCCTTGTGTCTTCTTATCGCTGTACTTTGCAGGGTTCAAAGCATAGCTACTAAAGGAACGAACAAGTGGATGGAGGACTAGGCAGGAAAGGCTGGGCAGGGTCCAGCCACCAAGGGCCCTGCCTCTCATACCCACCTGCCTCATGAGCTCGGGGTTGTTGAGCATGTGGCTGATCTCGGGGTTGCGTTCCATCAGCTGTTGCATCTGGGGGTTGGCCATGATCATGTGGCGCATCAGGTCGGGGTTGGACATCATGTCCTGGACGAGTGGGTTCTCCATGATCTGGGATAGCATCTCAGGGTTGGACATGAGCTGTCTCTGCATCTGCTGCTGCAGCTCCATGAAGTTGGCAGAGCCCAGGCCCAGGCTACCCAGTCCCAGGATGCCCCCAAAGCCAGCTGTGGGGGGGGCGGGCAGGGGGCAGCATTACGGTCCATTGCAGGAGCCCACCCTCCACCTATCCAGAGCCACTAGGTGGGTCCCCAGCTATTGCTCCCATCTCTCTCCCAATGGTTCTCACAGCCCTGGCCCTAACACACTACCAGGTGAGTCTGTGGCAGCAGACACTGAGCCAAGCCCAGACTGGGCAGGGAGGAAGCACTGGAGAAGACCCACCAAGACTCCAAGACTGCCCACTTGGCTGCTGTACCTTGGGACCCACCTTCCCCCATACTCATGTGGTCTTTTACTTTTCCCTTCCAGGGCCTCCTACAAATCTAGTCCCATTTCTCCCTCTAGTCCTCATGCTGAGCCATGCTCCCTGCCTCCAAGAAGCCCACATGGATTGCTTTGCTCCTCCCCCGCCTCTACCCCCACCATTAGGCTTGGCTCATGCTGTGACAACTAGAACCTTACGTCTAGAAGTCCCCCACCAGCTTAGGAGTTGAACCCATGTTTCTCTTTCCTCTTGGCTCTCTGCCCCACTCCCCAACTCCTCACCCCCATGCTCTCCTCCCTCAGGGCTTACAGAGTATGGAGGCGGCAGCACTGGGGGGTCCCTCTCCAGCCCCTGGGGAGGGACCCCCCCCACTGCTTCTCCGGCTTCCACTGCCAGCATCCGAAGCGGCACTGCCAGAGGTGGAGGGCTGGGCTGGGGTAGCAGGTGAAGCAGGTGTAGTGGAGGGTGCAGAGGCAGGGTCAGGAGTGGAGGGGGAAGAAGCAGTGGGAGCGCCTGGATCTTGAGCCCTGAGGATGGAGAAGGGAGGATCTTAGATGGAGTAAGCGTAAGGGGTGGGGAGAGGAACGGTACCACAAACTCCCTGGGTCCTAGGCCAGGAGCTGCATTCCCTCCCTGAGCTTCGCGGTGGCTAGGGCTGGGGGAAGCTGGCCATAGAGGGAGGCAGTTTTATAAACCAAGACCAAAGGAGGGAGCAGGTGTCCCAGCTGTCGGCATTCTGGGAGGGGGAGGTTGGTTCCCTTCCCAGTCCCCCACCCCGCAACCCCTCCACCCCCAGAGATGAGAACCTGAGTTCTGAGGATACACTCTCTGGGAACGGTTAAGGAATGGCTAGCAAAGAATCACCTGGGCAGACCCATGCAGGCACTGGGCCTGCTTCCCTCCCCCAACTTACTTCTGAGGGGTCTTGATAACCAGGTGGACTGTGAGCCCATCCTTGATCCCGTGCTGGCTCAGGGTGTCTCCATCCTTGAGGATTTTGCCTGCGAAGATCAGGACCAGCTGATCCTGTTGAGCCTTAAACCGCCGGGAGATCTCCTCCTTGAACTGTGATCAAGAGCCAAAGAGGCCAGGTGTCCAGTTAGTTTAGCAGGAAAGATGCCTGGGCAAACACCGCCCCCTGCCCCACCTCCTCCCCATTAGAGTACCTGAATTTCATTCCTGGCTCTTGTTCCTAATTCCAGCTTCCCCCAAATGCCAAAGTGGTTTAAATAATTGTTTCCTGACACTCACATGGGAAACTGGGATTGAATTCCTGGCTCCTGGCCTTGGCCAAACCCCAACTGTCATGGGCATCTGGGGAGAGAATTAGCAGATGGGAGATCTCTCTCTCTCATCAGGGACCCTAACTTCTCAACAGCCTCTGCATTCTCCTACTCCTCCCCTTCGTTGTGTGGAGTCCTTTCTGCTGTTTCAACCCCATCCCTGAATCTGTAATAAGCAGCTCCATCGCTACTTTTTTTTTAATGGACCCTGTGCAATGGCTCAATGACCAAAGCCTCACCTTTTCAAGTGCCGGGATCACTTATGGGTGCCGGTTCATGTCCCGGCTGCTCCACTTCCAATCCAGATTCCTGCTCATGGCCTGGGAAAGCAGTAGAGGATGGCCCAAAGCCTTAGGGCCCTGCACCCATGTGAGAGACCCAGAAGAAGCTCCTGGCTCCTGGCTTCTGATCAGCTCAGCTCCGGCCATTGTAGCTATATGGGGAATGAACCAGCAAATGGGAGATCTTCCTCTCTCTCCTTTCTGTAAATCTGATCTGCCTTTCCAATAAAAATAAATAAATCCTTAAAAGGAATTTACTTTATCATTTGAAAGACAGAGGATATCCAAGCTACTGGTTCACTCCCACATGTCCCAGTAGCCAGGGTCAGGCCAGGCACAAGTTGAGAGCCTGAAAACGCCACATGGGTCTCCATGTGGGTGGCAGGGACCAACTATGTGAACCGCCACCTGCCGGCTTCCAGGATGCACATTGGAAGGGAGTTGGGCTGGGAATAGAGCAAGGCCAGGTACTTCAGAATGAAATGTGGACACCCCATGAGGCATCTTGACTGCTGTACCAAATGCCTGCCCTCCTTTTATCTTTAACTTATTGAGACAGACAGGAAAAGCTTCCACCACGAATTCACTCTCCAAGCACGTGCAACAGCTGAGGCTGGTTTAGCCTGAAGCCAGGCGTGAGACTCCAACCAGGTCACCCTGATGAGTGGCACAGATCTTAAGACTTGAGTTATCACCAGCTACCTCCCAGGGAGCTCCTTTCTTAAAAGATTTATTTATTGGGCCCTGTGCGGTAGCCTAGCCTCTAAAGTCCTCACCTTGCATGTGACAGGATCCCATATGGCCATCGGTTTGTATCCTGGCTGCTCCACTTCTCTTCCAGATTTATTTATTTTTGTTAGAAAGGCAGCTTCACAGAGAGAAGGAGAATCGGGGAAAGATCTCCCATACACTGGTTCACTCCCCAAATGGCCACAAGGGCTGTAGCTGAGCCGATCCGAAGTCAGGAGCCAGGAGCTTCTTTCAGGTCTCCCACATGGATACAGGGTCTCAAGGCTTTAGGCCATCCTCTACTGCTCTGCCAGGCCACAAGCAGGGAGCTGGATGGCTAGTGGAGCAGCAGGGACAAGAACTAGCATTCATATGGGATGCCACCACTTGGAGGTGGAGGATTATTCTGTTATGCCACCACATTGGTCCCAAGGCATGTCCCCCCCCCCTTTTTTTTTTAAGATTTATTTTATTTTTATTGCAAAGTCAGAGATACAGAGAGGAGGAGAGACAGAGAGGAAGATCTTCCGTCCAATTATTCACTCCCCAAGTGAGCGCAATAGCCAGTGCTGTACCAATCCAGAGCCAGGAACTTCTTCTAGGTCTCCCATGTGGGTGTAGGGTTCCAAGGGCTTGGGCCGTCTTCTGCTTTCCCAGGCCACAAGCAGGGAGCTGGATAGGAAGTGGGGCTGCTAGGATTAGAACTGGTGTCCATATGGGATCCCAGTGCATTCAAGACAAGGACTTTAGCCACTAGGGTATAGCACTGGACCCAGCATCTCCCTTCTTAATCAAGAAGGCAATGAAAGGCTCTCCCAGCTCTCCCAGCTCTCCCAGCCTCACCCCAGTTGCCCTCACAGCTACCTACACCCTGGGTTTAGTTGCCACTCATGAGGATTCTGGTCGAGCACCCTCCTCCATCTCAACTCTTACTGCTGTGGCCTCAGGCCCTGGCCCTTCAGCCTTTTCTCAGTCCTCCAGATGCTCTCCTCTGTTTTTCCTCCAGTTCTTTCAAAGCAACAAACAACAAATGGATCCTGGGATTGAGCACCAGCTACATGTGAGTTACTGGTCTAGCATATTCACTATTAACTATTTTCAAAATCAGAAAACACTATACACACACGCGCGCGCGTGCACACAGAGTGCAGTGGCACAGCACACTAAGCCTTTGCCCTGTGTGTCAGCATCCCCTATGGGCTTCAGTTCAAGTCGCAGCTGCTCCACTTCAGATTCAACTCCCTGCATATGGCCTGGGGAAGGCAGCGGAGGTTGCCCAAGTGCTTGGGTCCCTGCACCCACATGGGAGACCCAGAGGAAGCTCCTGGCTCCTGGCTTCAGATTGGCTCAGCTCTGGACATTGAAGCCAATTGGAGCATGAACCAGCAGCAGTGGATGGCAGATCTGCCCCTGTGTCTCTCCTCTCTTTCTGTAACTCTGCCTTCCAATATAAAAATAACTAAATTTAAAAATGTATCAGAAAAGAGAGCAGAAAGATTAGGTAACATCTTGGGCAGAGTGAAACCCAGGGTCTCTAACGCAAGAATGCAGGTTCCTAGCCACACACTGCCTGACAACCATGCTGTTCTCAAAGTCAGTGTGGTAGGGAACAGTAGTGTGGCCCTCAGGTACGTTATGCTGTTGGACCTGTAAGGGAATTGACGGCCCAGGGAGAGCTAGACGTCCCCAAATTCTCAGTCTCTACCTAACCCAACCAAGCCGACACAGACACTCCGCGCAGAACCGTGCACTTGCTAAGCCTCGGCAGCTTCCAGATTCCGCTCTCCCAACCAGATGGCCTATCTGGAAGCCCCGCCTATGTGAAATTCGGGACCAACTACAGGGGGAGGCGAACGCAGGCGAAAGTCCCTCATTCAAGAAAATGGGATAGAACACCTACAGCACACCGTGCGCATCTCAGAAGTGGCTGCAAGCCAAGTGGGACTTCCGCCCCCCCACCGCCGCCCTCGGGCTCCAAGCACAGCAAGGATCCGGGCGCAGGAAAAGCCCTCTGCACCCGCCCCTCCCCACCACCCCGGCGCATGGAGAACACCAGGCGTTCTCCGGGCGCACAGTAGGCGCCAGCGCGCTCAGCTCTCCCCCAGGGAGGCGCCGCCCGCTCCCCGGGTTCAGCACCTTGCCCCCCGGCCGTCACCACTCTGCCTCCGTGGCTCGAACCCCGACCAGTAAACAGGAGCGCACACTCCCCCGTTCACTCAGGGCAGGGTGCTTCGCAGAGGCGGGCGCAAGGTGTCCCCCAACCCGTTCTCCACCACGCCCCCAGCCCGGGCTCCGGGGCAAAACCCGCCCCCCACCTCTTCAAGCACAAGTCACGCTCGCCCACCAGATCCGCCCGCGCAGGGCGCCCCCTGGTCCGCCCCTCCTGCCCTGGGGTTCTAGGGAGTCCCCACCGGCCCCATTCCTCCTCCCTCCCGGGCCGTCCCGGACGCCCAGGCCGTCTCTGAGCCTTCCCACCCCCCCTCTCTTCGCAGACCCCCTGCTCTGCACTCCCTCTCAGGACCCCCCCCACCCTCGACCCTACTACCTCCTTGACCGAGGCTCGATCGCAGATTACAATTTCCTCCTTGTCCTTGGGGGTCTTGACGGTGACCCGAATGGGGGGCCTCGTCTCGGCCCCGCTCGGCTCCGCCATGCCGCCACCGCCGCCGCCGCCACCCGGCCTTCCAGTCTGCCCTCCCGGCTCCTCCTCCTCCTCCCCGCCCGCCGGCCGGCCCGGCTCAGCTCGGCGCCTCCAACACTCCCCTCTCCCCTCCCCGGCCCGCCCCTCGCCCGGGCCCCGCCGTCCCCCGCCCCTCCGGGCCGGCCGCAGCCACAGCGCCCCGGGCGGACTGGGGGGGCCACTGCAGCGGGGTCCGCCCAGGGCCGGGCCTGGGGTCGGTCCGAGTCGGGCGGCTCCGGGTGGGGCGCTGGGCGGGGACCGGGGCGGCACACGCCCCCCAAAGTCCCGGTGTGCTGCGACCCCGAGCCGCCCCGCCCTTGCGCGGTTGCCCCTGCTCCGGGACAAAGGACTTAGTACGCGAACGCTTTCTCTCGGTCCCCTAGGGCGATAAACTTGGTCTCTCTCTCTCTCAGAAGGCGCAAGTTCCATTCAGGCCTGGCACCTCTCTCTCTGCCCGGACACTGGATTTTCGTCCCGCTGGACATCCACTGAAGAACCTCAGCTCTATGAGGGACCCTCTATTCCTCCCCATGACCGAGGCCTGGATGGCCTACTTCAATTTAAGTACGATTCCAGAGAACTGGATGTCGCCTGCGCGCCCGACCCGGCCTTGGTTTCCAGAATCTCTCGCTTCATCCTCACAGACTCGTTCATATCACAGCAAACTGCTGTAAGAACCCAGGAGGAGCCTGACCAATACAAAGATTTATTATTACTATCGCTACTGAATCGCCAGGTGCCAGGCGGCCATGATGACCCCTGTCGGCGGAGGGGTTAAATGCCCTCCCGCCCTGCCACACTGCCCGTCCACTCCCGCTCTTTCCTGCCCCCACACTCGACCGCGTGGTCCTGCTGAGGAGGCGAACTACAGCTCCCAGGATGCCTCGCGAGGCCTCAGGAACTACAAGGCCCAGTTCCTCCGCGGCTGAGAGGGGGCTGGGGCCAGAGCCACTGTCGCGGCGTCGGAAAACTACAACTCCCGGGAGGTTCCCGAGGGTGCGGCTGTGCTGCCGGAAGCCGCGGGACGCGGCCCGGCGCCGGGACGTCAGGGTGAGCAGCCGCAGGCATGCTGCGCCCCAAGGCTTTGACCCAGGTGCTCAGCCAGGCCAACACTGGAGGCGTCCAGAGCACCCTGTGAGTGGCGAGCTGCACCCGAGCGTTGACGACCGCGTGGGGCGGGGAAGGAGGCGGCCGAGGGAGCATCTCTGGAAAGGGAAGCGCTGGGGATGCTTTCCGGGACCCACTCAACTCAGACCCTTGCCGCCGTAGGGAGTCGGGGTGCCAGCCAGCACCCCACCCCCAGGCGCGACCTGTCGACGGCCCCTCCCTGTTTCTTGTCAGGCTACTGAATAACGAGGGATCGCTGCTGGCCTATTCAGGGTACGGAGACACAGACGCCCGGGTCACCGCGGCCATCGCCAGTAACATCTGGGCCGCCTACGACCGGAATGGGAACCAGGCATTTAATGAAGACAACCTTAAGTTCATCCTCATGGACTGCATGGTATGGAGCCGGGAGACAGACTTCCTCCAACCCGCCCCTCTTCCCTCTGCGAGAGGATTCCCAGGGGGGGACCAGGACCCGATCCTGGATCATCACTGGTGGGGGGTAGAGGGCAGGGACAGAATCACCAGAGGGATGGCTGAGAGTTGGTCAGCAGCAGCCTGTGTGATGGGCAGGACCCCCAGCCCTGAGCAGTGACTGAGACCCGAATCCAAGCTCTGACTCGGGTTCTGGTTTTGTCCATCCATTTGCCCCCAGGCGTAACCTTGGGTAAGTCGCTTCAAGTTCTGTCTGTGGGGTGCTTCCTTAATCTCACCACCTAGAGGGGAAATGACGACCCACCCTCCCTCACCTCAGGGTTGTTGTGGCAAATAAATGAAAGTTTGCAGACAAATGGAAAAGTGCTTTCCAGACACAAAGGGCTGTCCGCTCAGCTCGGCTTCACGGACTCCCAGGCCCAACGCAGAGGCTCCAGCCTCTAGGCCAGCTCCTTTCTTTCAAAACCAGGAAGTCCAGAATGGAGAAGTCAACTTTCTGGGGACAGGAACGGTTTCTTCTCTGAGTCTGTTCAGTTGACAGATAACATGGATCTGTGCAGGACCTTTAAGGATTAGGGGGAAAATGACAAACAGGACAGCCCAAAAATAAACAAATACATAAATACATAAGGTCTAGTGAAACTTAACAGTTGCACATACAATTTGAAATAAGTAAAATATAGAGTCTGCATTGGTATTGATAATGCAGTGGAGAAGCATTATAGCAGGGAAATAAGAGCATGCAGAGAGCAGGTGTTTGGGACCATCTCCCTGGAAAGGCCATGTCTGATCAAAGAATGCAAGGAAGGTGGGGGTCCCAGCACATGCCCCTCTGGCAGCACAATGAGTACAGGGGTCCTGAGGCCAACCTGGGCTAGGGTTGGACAAGTCTGGCCTGGCTGGAGGGGCCTGAACTGGAAGGGGGCAGGGGAGCAAGCCAGCGGGACAGGGAATGCAGTGCCTGGCTCCCAGCTCATAGGGGACACCTGGGAAAGGTTTGCAAGGCTAACGTGATTAGATTCCAAGGATGAACACACCAGGGAAGATTTCACTGGAGTGGAGCTGCCTCCTCTCCTGCAGCCGCTGCCCCACCATCGCTATTTTGGTTCCAAGGATGATTCCTTGGGCCTAGCTGCAGCTGGTGCAATGAGACAATAGCTCTTAAATGTTGTGACTGCAGCTTAGACAAGATATATACTTTAAGTCAGGACTCAGTACCAACAGACACCTACTGATGCAAAGAACTGGATGAAATAGCCCTGCTCTTACTGTATTTATTTTTTTCTTCTTTATAAAACCAATTTAAAGTACTGTTCAGCCTTCTGAGTAGACCTTGTAACCCAGGCGTCAGTCAGATTTGCAGTTCAAAACACTACCTTGAGAAGAGAAAAATCAGCTGATTCACTGTTCTCATGTTTGCACAGTCCTTGGCAGATGTGTCTGGCGTGAGGTAGGGATTCCCGAAAGAGAAACAGTGGATCCTGGATTCATAGGTGGCTGTGCCAAGTCTGGCATCCAGTTCAGAGCCCCATGTCCATGGCTGTGGCCAGAGCTTGCAGCTGTATCTCCTGCTATGTCCAGGACATAGAAGGAGAGTGGAGACCTTTGAGACCAGCAGAGCCCTTGGGGAAGGAGAGGGACTGAGAAAGCATCAAACAACATCCCATCCCATATCCTATCCCCCTACCAGGAGGGCCGTGTAGCCATCACCCGCGTGGCCAACCTTCTGCTGTGTATGTATGCCAAGGAGACCGTGGGCTTCGGAATGCTCAAGGCCAAGGTGTGTATGTGTCCCACCCTGGTGTTGTTCTCAAGTCCTTGTGCTGACTCAGTTCATGTCTGGTGGGGACTAACTCCCAAGAACAGCAAGGAGCTGGGGGTGGTTGAGGTATGGCCTTCAGAGTAGAACGGGGGTTCTTCTAGCTGCAGGCCTTGTGCAAGACTGACTTCTCCCCCACCTCTTGCAGGCCCAGGCCTTGGTGCAGTACCTGGAGGAGCCCCTCACCCAAGTAGCTGCATCGTAGTGGACACCACTGGTTGCAGCCCAGAAGAGAGAAGAACATTGTGCATTGTGGAGGACAAGACTATGGGGGAAGGCTGGGACCTTGTGTTTTGGCGGGGGATGGTGTTTATTTAATAATAAACTTTAGCTCTTGGCTTGGCTTGGCTTTTTTGGAAGGAAAGAATCACAGGAAATAGTCAGGAACACATCAAGTTCTGCAAGAGTCGATGTGTGCTCACACTTTCACTGTGATGTCCCACCACCAAATGGTCCTGGGCAGTGGCCTCTCTGACCTCACTGACCCCTGCCACTCATGCGTGAATCTTTCCCTGCAATGTTGGTCAGGAATAAGCTCTTGGCACAGGCCTGGAGGGATCCTGATGGAGAGAGACTGTCAGACTCTAAGTGGTCAGTGGCCTCTCTGGGCTTTGTAGGAGAGGATATCTTTTTACTTTGGGGGTTGGAAGGATGTCCCCTGATCTTCATCTGTTAATTCACTCCCTTAAATGGCCACAATAGGGCCCAGCGCGGTGGCCTAGTGACTAAAGTCCTTGCCTTGAATGTGCCAGGATCCCATATATGGGTGCCGGTTTTAATCCCGGCAGCCCAACTTCCCATCCAGCTCCCTGTTTGTAGCCTGGGAAAGCAGTCAAGGACGGTCCAAAACCTTGGGGCCCTGCACCCGCGTGGGAGACTTAGAGGAGGTTCCTGGCTCCTGGCTTTGGATTGGATTGGTGCAACTCCAACTGTTGCAGTCACTTGGGGAATGAATCATTGGATGGAAGATCTTCCTCCTATCTCTCCTCTCTGTGTATCTGACTTTGCAATAAAAAGAAATAAATCTTTTAATAACAACAACAACAAAAGGCCACAATAGCTAAACCTGAGCCAGGCTGAATCCAGCAACTTCATCCAGCTCTCCTACATGGATTGTCGGGGTCCAAGCAGTGGAAACACCTGCTTTCCGAGGCACATAACCAGGGAACTGGATTGGAAGTGGAGCAGCTGGGACCTGAACCAGTGTCTACACGGGATGCTAGTATTGCATTCAGCAAGCTTAACCCAATACATCATAATGCTGACCCCAAAAATGCCTTTTTAAAATTTTTTCTTTTTCTTTTTTTTAAGGGAGAAAGATCTTCCATCTGTTGGAAGGTGATCTCATGCCTGCTGCAGCCACAGCTGGGCTGGATCAAAGCAGGGAGCCTGTATGCCTTCCTCCTCTGGCACTCCCAACTCGGTCATAGAGACTCAAATACCTGAGCTGCCTCCCAGAGTGCTTGTTAGCAACAAGTTGGAATAGGAAGTGAAGCAGTTGGCTCTCTGAGGTGCAACTCCTGTTCAGGAAGTGACAGCAACCAGAATGGCGCTCAGAGCCCTTCCCCTCCAGATCCGGCCCCATTAGGCTCTTCCTGCCCCAGGTCTCCCATTCCTGGTGTCCTTAAAGCAGGTCTGTGCAAGGTGTGCTATAGCTCTTTAGAGCTGTGGGCGTAGACCCATTTCAGGGAATCCAATAGGACGCAAATCCCAGTGCCACCTGGGAGGAGAACCTCTGGCGCTAACAGGCCCTGGGATGTCAGAGGAGGAAGTAGTCGCTGTGGCTGAGGTGCAGCTCCCACAGCTCTCCCACCTACAGCAGGTGCCTGGCAGCCTGCCCACCCCACGCCAGCAGCAACCCTTCTCCTGGTGATTCCAGCAGAGCGGCCACCTCTCCCAGGATTCTGAAGGGGGCTTCATGCTCCTTGGCGGCTGAGGGGCCGGGAGGGGGTACAGTTCTCACAGTAGGTGGCTGGATCCCCTCACCACAGCTCGCAAAGACTCAGCCCTCAACAGGTCCTGTCTGCAGATCCTGTTCCAGTCTTGGCTTCACTCCTCCACCACCTCCTAGTTGGGCTTTGCTGCTCGCAGGAGCCCAGCCCGCGGAGCCGACAGCCAACCTGTCTAACCTGTCTGACGTCACCATCTCTCCACCCACCTGAGCCCCAGGTCTCCAGCCGCCCCGCTCTTCCTGTTCTCAGCTTCCGTCCTCTCCGCTTCATTGCAGCACCTGCGGCTGCCAGAGCTGGGAGCCTCCGCTGGGCCCACAATCTCTCTGGCTGCAGGAGTCTCCCCCAATGAGAGAAGGGGCGGGCCCAGGTCTCCAAGAGAGCCAAAGGCTGAGAACACCTGAGAGCCACCACAAAGTCTTGTCACTTGTGACCCTGAAGACACCTGCACCCTCCATGCTGGGCCAAGATGGGGAACGGAACCGAGGACGATTATAACTTTGTCTTCAAAGGTGAGTTTGGGTCCAAGAAGGGAGGAATGTCTGGAAAGACAGGCACAGAGCCAGAGAGGGGCCAGGCTCCCTAGAGCTGCATTCCACTAAGAAAGTAAGCTGTAGGGTCAGTGTGGGAGGGACACAGGGCAAAAGGCCCTGGGGGCCACTCCCCCATGGCTGTAGATCATACCTGAAAGTGCCAAGTGTTGGAATCCTTGGGCAGGGTCAGTGCCTGCAGCAACAGAGATGGAGGTCAGACTTCAGAAAGAACTTCCCTCCTGTGAACAGGGGTAGCAAACCGACTGCAGGAAAAAAGAAGAGTCATCTTTCTGGGCAGGTGTCTATAGAAAAGGAAAGGGGAGAGGTATGCCACCACAGAGCTAGGGGATAAATATGAAGGGGCAGCATTCTGAATCAGCATTGGGCTCTGGTGGACGCCAGGGGATGGCTCTTAGGCTGCGGCCTTGTCTGCTTCTCCCTCGGCCAGGCACTGGGTTCTGTTGGCTGTCCCTGCAAGGTGTGTGTGTGTCCTGCTGTTGCTTTATCTCAGCCACTGTGGTTAGCTCTCTGCTGTTCCCCAGCCCAACCCACACGCCTCCTTCAGGGCTGGGTGGACTGGTACAGCCATGCTTTCCTCTCCAGCCACCGCACCCCACTGCCTCTCCCAGCTTCAGCCCCACCCTCCCTCAAGCTGGGAAACCTGTACTCCCAGCATCTTTCCCAAGAAAGACAGAGACAGGGTAAGGGTTAGCTTCTGCTCTGCACCTGCCACCATCGTGTGGATCACCCTAACATCTCCTTAACATTCTCTTTTATTGTGAGAGGGCCTTGGCCCAGGCAGGGCTGAGATCTCAGCTCTGCCACTTGTAAGATGAGGCCAATGACTGTGAAAAGCTGGGGAGGAGATAGGGTTGGGCAGAAGGAGACGTCAAAGGCAGGCTCTGTGCAGTCAGGGTCAAGGGCAGGAGCTCCATGATAGCCTCCCCTGGCTCAGGTATAGGCTGCGGACTTCCTGGAAGAGGCTGACTCTGATGAAGCCGCTGCTGCACTAGAGTCAGGTGCAGGTGGGAGCCGGTGGCTAAAAGCTTCTGGCAGCCTGCACTGCCTGAGGTGTGGCAGTGGTAGATCCAGACAGCACAGCCCTGTCTTTGCACTGGCTCGGTTATTCTGAGTGCCTGGCTTCCTTGTTGCTAAAAAGAAGGATATCATCGTGGGGCTTGTCCTGTGGCATTGCTCTGACAACTTGGGTACTGGACAATGCTTGGCACACACAGCAACAGCACTCAGTCCATGTCAACCAAGGGACTCTGTGTTTGGCAGGTGAACAGATGGAGGCTTAGAGGCAGTCCTTAGCTTCCTTGAGGTCACAAAGCCACAGCACACCAAAGTCCTTGTGGTGGGTCACTCTGGAGCCCAAGGACAGGACTGGAAGCCAATCATCATGGAGGAGGAGGGGAAGGGGAAGAGGTTCCTGATAGGCAAGAGGGGTGAGTGCACACACACCACACACACACCACATATACAGACACAATACATACACAAGGTGTGTGCTAAAGAAAAGTTTATGGAATATGCTTATTAAAAAAAATGATGCATGAGTTCCAAATATTTTGCACCAGAATAAACATATCATTTAAGTTCATTTTCCACAATTTTTAAAAAAGGTTTATTTATTTTTATTGGAAAGGCAGATATACAGAGAGGAGGAGAGACAGAGAGGAAGATCTTCTGTCCAATGATTCATTCCCCAAGTGACCACAACGGCCAGAGATGAGTCAGTCTGAAGCCAGGAGCCTATTCCAGGTCTCCCACGTGGGTGCAGGGTCCCAAAGATTTGGGCCGTCCTCGAATGCTTTCCCAGGCCACAAGCAGAGAGCTGAATGGGAAGCAGAGCTGCCGGGATTAGAACTGGCGCCCATATGGGATCCCAGCGCTTTCAAGGCGAGGACTTTAGCCATTATGCTATCACGCCGGGCTCCATTTTCCACAAATTTTAAAGCACCCTCATGTGCACACGCACACACATCCTCTTCCCCACACAGCTCTTTCTTGCCTCTTTTTCAGAGGCCTTTAGAGATTGTGTAAACAAAGAAGTTGAGCTCCAGAAAAAGTGAGCCACTTGGTCAAGTTTACCAGGCTAAGCAGAGCCCAGTCCTTGGGCGTCGACCTTCCACACTGGGAAATCCCTTCTAATCTTGAGTGGCCAGGCTCTGTGGTGGTCCAGTTGGTGAGTTGTACTGATCCCAGCTCTCCAGATCCCATGGGAAGAGCCGGGCCCAGCTGCATCCCAACACACCAGGTCCTTTTCTGCCCTTAGGATAGAGACCATTGTCGTTCCCGTTCTCCATGTGTAAAAGGCATTTCTAGGGGATTAGTAACTAGCTGAGGGACTCAGAGCCAAGGGCTTCTTACCTAGAGATGTCTGGGTCCTAACTTTGTAACATTTTTGCTCATTTATAGGAAAGACAAAGAGACAAAGTAAGGGGGCCCTCTTCCACTGGCCCACTGCCCAGATGTTCACAACAGCCAGGACTAAAACCAGGAGCCAAGAGCATTACACAGGTCTCCAATGTGAAAAGCAGGAACCTGAATGTCTGAGATATCCTAGCTATCTTCCAGAGTCTGAACCAGCAGGAAGCATTAGTCAAGAATTAGAGCTACAGCCTGTGCTAAGGCAGAGTATGTTAACCTGCTGCCTGCAGTGCCAGGTTCACATATGGGTGCTGGTTCAAGCCCCAGCTCTGGCTACTGCAGCCATTTGTGGAGTGAACCAGCAGATGAAAGACCTCTCTCTCCCCCCCTATCTCTGCCTCTCCCTCTCTGTAAGTCCTCCTTCCAAGTAAATAAATCTTTAAAAAAAGGAAGAGCTAGGGCCCGGTGGATAGCCTAATGGCTAAATCCTTGCCTTGCCTGTGCTGTGATCCATGTGAGAAAATTTGTGGAAAATGGAGCCCGGCGTGATAGCATAATGGCTAAAGTCCTCGCCTTGAAAGCGCTGGGATCCCATATGGGCGCCAGTTCTAATCCCAGCAGCTCTGCTTCCCATCCAGCTCCTTGTCTGTGGCCTGGGAAAGCAGTAGAGACCGGCCCAAAGCCTTGACAACCTGTATCCACGTGGAAGACCCGGAAGAAGCTCCTGGCTCCTGACTCTGGATCAGCTCAGCTCTGGCCATTGCAGCTACTTGGGGAGCAAATCAGAGGGTTGATCTTTCTCTTTGTTTCTTCTTCTCTTGTATATCTGCCTTTCCAATAAAAAATAAACTAAAAAATTTTAAAAGAAGAGCTGGAGCTAGGAATGAAATTTAGATATTTTGATGTAGGCCTTTTACTTGGTTTTTAAGTTTATTTGAAAGGCAGGATGAGAGAGAGAGAGATCAATCTCCCATTTGTTGGTTCACTTGCCAAAATGCCTACAACAGTCAGGTCAGCGGGCCCAAACACTTAGGCCACCTTCTGCTGCTTTTCTAGGCTATTAATAGGGAGCAGGGTCAAAGTGGAGCTGTCAGGACTCAAACTGACACTCTTGTGTGATGCCAGTGCTGCAGGTGGTAGCTTCACCCACTTTGCCAGCCACAGTGCTGGCCCCATGGAAGATATCTTTCTCCTTCCATTTCTCTCCTTATCCCATGGTCTCCTCTCTACAACTCATTTCAAAAATAAATAAAAATAAATGTGAAAACAAAACACTGCACAGTTACCCTTCAGCTCCTTTACACAGACATGCAGCTGTTCTCATGTTCCTACTGCCACAGTGGTATAAGCACATCCTCACATCCCGGCAGCTGCCCACGTGCTACCGGGACAGACCTTGGCTATCAGAAATGCAGGCTCCGACTGACTCGCAGCAGCCCACCAGGCTTCTACCTCTCCCAGGCCCCTTTCTCTCCTTTTCTTTCTTTCTTTCTCTTCTTTCTTTTTCTTTCTTTCTTTCTTTCTTTCTTTCTTTCTTTCTTTCTTTCTTTCTTTCTTTCTTTCTTTCTTTCTTTCTTTCTTTCTTTCTCTCCTTTCTTTCTTTTCTTTTCTTTTCTTTCTTTTCTTTCTTTCTCTCTCTTTTCTTCCTTCCTTCCTTCCTTCTCTCCCTCCTCCTCCTTCAGATGTATTTATTTTTATTTGAGAAGCAGATTTACAGATAGAAATGAAGACAGAAAGGTCTTTTATCCGCTGGTTCACACCCCACAAATGGTCACGATGACCAGAGCTGAGTTCATTTGAACACAGGAACCAGGAACATCCTCCTGGCCTTTCTTTCCAGGCCACAGGCAGGGGAGCCGCATGGGAAGTGGAGCAGCTGGGACACAAACCGGAGCACATATGGGATGCCTGTGCCAAAGGAGGAAGTTTAGCTTCATATGCCCATGCCCGGGTGCCTGACTTACTCACTTTCAACTGGTAGCTCTGCTCACCCAGGCAGGTGGAGCTAGGCTGCAGCGCCCCCTTCTAGCCTCTGCCAGCTGGTCCCACAGCTCCTCTTACCTTCCGGGTGCAGCCTCTGCTTTCTAACGGGCAGACCCTCTAAACTCAGCTAAACTCAGGTGGATCTGGCTCCTGTGCTTAGCTCCTCACCTGTCTACCCTTCCAGTGGTGCTCATTGGCGAGTCGGGCGTGGGGAAGACCAATCTGCTGTCCCGATTCACACGCAACGAGTTCAGCCACGACAGTCGCACCACCATCGGGGTGGAGTTTTCCACCCGCACCGTGATGCTGGGCACCTCTGCCGTCAAAGCTCAGATCTGGGACACGGCTGGCCTGGAGCGGTACCGAGCCATCACCTCAGCGTGAGCCTGGGCCCCCCGGGGGAGCGGGGCACTGGAAGGGTGGGAGTGTCCACTTGGAGACGCTGGCCGAAGGCAATGAAGCGAGCCAGGGGGCTGGTGTGGGAATCACAGCAGGTAAAGTCCTGTATGAGCCAGCAGAGCTACATCCAGAGCATAAGGTATTATTGCATATTTGGTGCTTTCTGAAAGTGCCAGCGGTCAAAGGTTAGTAGGGATTCATGCAAGTGCGGAGTGGGAATACAGGCCGGCTGTGTGGGTTGGGTTTAGGGCGCCCCCTCACGTCAGTATGGTGCTCTGCAGTTAAAAAAGGCAAAAGGCGGGTCCTAGCATCTGCATTGTTCTTTAAGGTATTTTATTTTTATTGGAAAGACAGATCTACAGAGAGTAGAGGAGACAGAGATAAAGATCTTGCTTCTGCTGATTCACTCCCCAAGTGGCCACAGTGGCTGGAGTTAAGCTGATCCAAAGCCAGGAGTCAGGAGCTTCTTCTGGGTCTCCCACATGGGTGTAGGGTCCCAAAGCTTTGGACTCTCTTCTACTGCTTTCCCAGGCCACAAACAGGGATGGGATGGCCTGGATGGGAAGTGGAACAGCCAGGACCATACCAGTGCCGCTATGGAATTCTAGCATTCGATGGGGAGGATTAGCCAGTTGAGCCATTGTGCTGGACCTCTGAAAAAAAAGTTTTTAAAAATATTTATTTATTTTTAAATATTTTTGAAAGGCAGAGCTACCGGAAAGTACAAAAGAGAGAGAGATCTTCCATTTTTTCTTCAATTCTCAAATGGCCACAACAACTGGGGCTATGCCATGCTCAAGCCAGGAAGTCAAAGCCACGAACAACTTCTGGGTCCCCCTCATGGGTGCAAAGGTCCAAGGACTTGGGCCATCTTCTGCTGCTTTCCCAGGCACATTAGCACGGAGCTGGATGGGAAATGGAGCATCTGCATCTGTAACCAGCACCCATATAGGTTGCTGGGGTCTCAGGCGGCAGTTTAACTGGCTTCAGTACAACACCAACCCAGCATATGAATTTTAAAAATGTATATTTATTTTAAAAATAGATTTATTTTTATTGGGAAAGCAAATTTACAGAGAGGAGATACAGAAAGGAAGATCTTCTGTCTGCTAGTTCACTCCCCAAGTGGCTGCAACGGCCGGAGCTGAGCTGATCGGGAGCCAGGAATTTCCTCTAGGTTTTCACACATGTGCAGGGTCCCCAGACTTTGGCCATCCTCCACTGCTTTCCCAGGGGACAGACAGGCAGGATGTGAACGGTTCCCAGAGGGGATCCCGGTGCTTGCAAGGCCATCGCACTGAACCTGGCATGTGCATTTTTATAAAGACTCAGAAGACACACAGGAGGTCCAAAGGGTGTCCTGGTCAGCAACAGACTTGTGTGTGTGTCTTTGGGGTCAATATGAACTATGAGGCAGGAAGAAGAGGCGGTGGCTTTGGTTCAGTACGTGTACTGCTCAGGTACACACACCCTCACAGCTTCACCAGTTGATCTTTTACGAGGAAACTGGTGATTGAGTGCATTGGGACTAAGGGAATGCCACCAGCATCCACAGCCCTTGCTCCATCAGCTGCAGGCGGAAGGCTGCGTGGCATGCTGCAAAGACACAGGCATTGGGCTGGTCCCAGAGAAACGGCCATAGTGAGTCAACAGGGCAGTAAGGATCCCAGAATCCTGTGGGGAACGGGTCGGAGGCAGGACATCCAGAGGCCGACTTGGCAGCAGGAGTCCAGATGTGCTTCAGGTGCATAGTAGGGACCGCAGTCACGATGAGCTGGGCTTGATGAGGGAGCCAGGACAGGCTTTACAGCAGAAAGGCCCCTTCAGAGGCTCTCTAAGACCCGGGTCCCTGGAGGGTGTGAGAGCCATGGGCTGCCCTGGACTTCCCGTTCCCTCGTTCCCCGTGTCTGGCACACTGCTGCCTCTTCTCTGAGGCCCATGCCCCTATCCTCGCCTTCCTATACTCCCGTCCAGGTACTACCGGGGCGCGGTGGGGGCCCTCCTGGTGTTTGACCTAACCAAGCACCAGACCTACGCCGTGGTGGAGCGCTGGCTGAAGGAGCTGTACGACCACGCTGAGGCCACCATCGTTGTCATGCTCGTGGGGAATAAGAGCGACCTCAGCCAGGCCCGTGAAGTGCCCACGGAGGAGGCCCGCATGTTTGCCGGTGAGAACCCAGGCTGGCATCTCCCGCCGGAGCCCACAGTGCCCTCCCTGCTCCAGCCTGTGGGCACAGCGCCCCCTGCCGGGGCCCCTCACCCCACGGCTGGTCTCCCCGCATGGGACCTGGAGTAGGTTCCTTGGGTATGTGGGCTGCAGGGCCGTCACCAAACCCCCCTCATTAGTTCTTCTCAGAATTAAAGTAACTACTGGGTGTCACGGCTGAGCACAGGACACGCACGTGCGTGGTCAACACTCAGTGAATGTCCGTATGATCTTTGATCCTCTGCACTAACAGTGGGTTTGCTTTCCTGGTAGAAAACAATGGGCTACTCTTCCTGGAGACCTCAGCTCTGGACTCCACCAACGTTGAGCTGGCCTTTGAGACCGTGCTCAAGGGTAAGAGCCTGCTTCCCCTGGCTCCCCTGCCCTGCTTCCCAGGGGGTGTGGTGCTTCCATGGGCAGACTGCCCCTCTCTGCCCACTCTACCCCATCCCGAATCTCCCCCAGGGCCCCTAACTCAGCTTGAAGCCTAGGGAAGAAACCCAAGGCTTAGGGCCAGAATGGGGATAGGGGTGCAGGACAGGGGTGCACTAAGTTTTTCCCCTCCAATCAGGGAAGCAGAGGGGACCTGGCAGCCCACACTCCCACTTCCTTCCTACACCACTCCCTGCCGCAGGGGCCACCTCCAGAGCTCAGAAGGGGCTAGTGGCATGGGGTGGGAACTTCTTCTGGCATCCTGACCCCTGCCATCTCCCCTCCTAGAGATCTTTGCAAAAGTGTCCAAGCAGAACCAGCAGAGCCCCCGGAGCAATGCCATCACCCTGGGCAGTGCCCAGACTGGGCAGGAGCCTGGCCCTGAGCAAAAGAAGGCCTGCTGCATCAACCTCTGACCTGGGCCTCTGACCCCCTGCCCCTTGTGGGGCTCTCTGCTGCTTGCCACCCCAGCTCAACTCCGGGACACTTCCCTACCCTTGGATTCTGGAAGTCAGGGCATCCAGTACCCTGTCCACAGAACCCAGAACCCTCAGATCCTCACACCCCTCCCTAAGGGGCCCTCAGGATCTTACTCCCCATGGACCAGAGCCCTGGAATAAAGCTGTGTTTTGTATTGATGGCTGCCTGTCCCTCAGGGCTTCCCCTTATGCTTCAGCTCCTCCCCTCCCTGAATCCCTGACCCCCTTCCTGTCACTACCCATCCTCACTACTCCCTGCCCCCCGCAGAGCCAGCTGCCTCTGGAGTTCTGTGGTCTGGGGACAGTGCCAAGGGGGCAGGAGGTGCCCGCCCTTCCCTCTGCCAACCCCCTTAGGGCAGGTGGGGAAGGGAGGGTGGTGTAGAGGGGAGGGGTATCTGGAAGGCAAGACAAAGAAAGCCATCGGCAGGCGCCATCTGGTGCCCAGAGCCCTGGTGCCAAGAACTGAGGTCACTCCAATGCCAGGGGCAAGAGGAGGAGGCTGGGGTGATGGGGGTGGGGCACAGGGAAAGAGGAGGAGCCAGTCTGAGGACTGGGGAAGGGGTTTTCACAATTCCCTTTCCTCTAGCCAGTTTGAATCTGGCAGCTAAGTGGGGGAGGGTATCTGGCTCTCTGGTCCCTCCCCCATGGAGCTCTGAGGTGGTTGTCTGGGTTAGGTCATGGTCACCTAACCTACTCCTGACATGGCAGGGTGGAAACAGTCCCATCTCCGAGGAAGAGAAAGGGACAAAGGGGGAGTAATGACGAGGGTGCTTGAGGGCAGAGTGGGGGAGCCCCCCAGGGCCTAGGGAACTCTTCATACACGCATGTAGCCACCACCCACCCCAAACAAAACCTCACACTTCCGACCCATCGCACCTGCTCTCACCCACCCGAGCTGACGGATACAGAGAAAACCACAGCAGCCTTAAGTAATAATACTTTTAATAAAATTAAGTTCTTAATAGCACATTTAATACATTAACCCTCCCCCTTCTTGGTTTCTCTGCGTTTTGTGCAACATCACTTTTGATTACTCATGGGTCCGTTTCGTTTCCCGCCTTTAGTTTGCTTTTGAAAACTTTTGCCTTGGTGGATTTGTCTGTGTCTTCACTAGATGCCTCAAATTAAGTCTGACCACAATCCTACTCTACTTTCTACAGTGGAGAGACCATCCCCCCTGCCCCAGGGCTGTCTCCACCCACCCACCCGACCCCACCCGCACCCTCGAGTGGGAGAAGGGGAAGCCTTCCCCACCCCAGACGCTACCATCCCAAACTAGCGGGGTTTCTAGGACAAAAAGAGCCGGGGTGGGGTGACTAGTCCATCCGGGGAGAGGGAGGTATGTTTGGGGTCCAGGGCCAGGGAAGGGCATGGTAGTCACTTGGTGTAATGTAGCAGGTGTCTCTTGCCAAAAGAGCTGGGGTCAGGGCAGGGCCTCCTCACCACCTTGGACAAATGCTAAGCTGGGGTGGATAGGAGGCCAAGTGCTTTACAAACCTCAAGTTCTTTCACGCAAAAGCCAGACATCCCAGTTCCCTCTGGGAAGGGCCCTGTATCCCCAAGACAAGAGCCCAGTGGATGACTCTGACTTGAACATTCACAGGTGGACAAAAGCAGAGGGCTCTGGGACCCCATTTTCCCAGGCCTTCAGGGTTAGTGTCTCCACCCCACCCCAGGAAGTCCTTGCAATCTAACTGCTAAGAGACAATAAAGCACTTTGCAAACCTGCAGAACACCTTATGGCTTTAAAGGAGAACCGCCGTTGAGATTGTTACCCATCCCCTCCCTCCCCATCAATGCCACAGGAGGTCCACAGCTCTGAGGAAGGTTGCATGCAAACAGAGGTGTGGCCTGATGTGCCCCTAGCCCCAGGAGGCGAGAGGGCTTGTGCGACAAGTTCCCAGGCTTCTAGGTCTATCCCTAGCAAAGCTGGCCGTTCTGGAACCACACAGCCACCCTCTGTCCTCCCCCAGAGTATCAGGAGAGGGACCCAGCCAGGCCCCCAGCTCCCTAACTCAGGGCAAGGGAGGGCTGTGCAGCACCTGATCGAGGTAATGGCCATGCATCCTTTCCCCTGGGAAGGGAGCCCCCCTCATGTTTGTCCTACAACTCCTCCAAGTCCAGGGATCCTTAGCTCAACCCCAGGCCGGTGGGTGGAAGCTCCTAGCTCCCTTAACTAGCAACCGAAGTCGACCCCGAAACCTGCAGATTGGGGCAGCTCAGGGTGAACCCCGCCATTTCCCTCCTCTATTTGTCTTTTCAATACGATTTTTTTATACATTCTACCGAGCCCGGGGCCCTCAACACTACTAAACTTTAAGCTATCTGAATATCATCTAAGTAACTAGTAACTCTTTCTTTCTCTCTCTAGGATTATATGAAATAGATTTGAATTATTATTATTATTAATAATTATTTTTGTAGTACTCTTTTTCTTTTAAACCCTTCGGTTTCTTTTTTTTTTTCCACTCTCTTATTTTTGGTTAAAAAAAAATCTATTTCTCTTAAATCTCCTACTTCTCTGGGGGCTCCCAAGAGACCTACTGGCCTGTTCTGGATTTTTCCCTCTTCACTTGCCCTGGGATAAGGGCAAAGGAAAGGGGGTGCGCCCCAGGATCCTCCTTCTGGTCCTCCAGCTTCTACTTCTTCTTAATCCCTTTGTTTGGCTCTGCCGACTCCCCTCAGGGGGAGGGGGAGGGGAGCCCCTGGAGGAAATCCGATCTCCTTGTGGGGCCCCAAAAGGGACCTGGCTCCTCCAGCCCCTCCCCCTCGCCCATCCCTCCGAGGATACTCCCCCCCCCAAGAAAAGCAAAATGATATTCCTCCCCAAAAAAAAGTGGGGGAAAAAAGGAACGTAAACCCGAACATATATTAAAAACACTTTGTTTTTCTGTTAAGATTTAACTCTGAATACAAATGTATTTTTTTTCTTCTTCTCTCCCTACATATATTCTAAACCTTCTAAAGTTTTTTTATTTTTTAAGGATCACTTTATCATAAAATAAAATATCCTTTTCATATAATAAATTACCTAATAAAAAGTCTTTTTTTTTCATATTAGCCCAGGTTCTTTGCTACATTTATACGGTAATAAACGCCTTTATTAAAATAGAATATTAAATTATAAAGAACTGCTTTTTTTTTTTTGCTATTTTTGTTTTCTCTCCTCTGTGTTGGTCGCCTATCTCGCTCCCTCTCCAGCTCTCTTTCCTCTATTTTATCTCTCATGATGTGTGTTGTTTCATTTCTAGGTTTGGCTCCGTGGGTAAGGGTGGGATTGAAGTTGCTGAGCCCCTAGTGTAACAGTCTTCTGCCTTTGTGGGTAAGGAGTGGCGAGGGGGGAGGGGCTGGACACCTCTCCCCTCGGCCCCCCTCCCCCGGCGACCGAGGGTGCCCATTTGGTTTGGTTTCTATTGTACAGACATCTTAGGATGGCTCACGTTGGCGGGGAGGAGGGAGACTGCCACAGGCCATTCCTCTTGGCTGTGACCTCCGTCCTCTTCCTTCCTAGGCTGGTGGGCTGGAGGGGGAGGTTGAGGAGAGGGGAGTGAACTCAGAGCAGAGAGCCCCCTCAGCATCCCTGCGCCCTTCTCCCTCTGGCTCTGAAGCGCCTAAGGGTGATTCAGAATAACCTCACTCCACTATATACAAGAATCTCCAGGGACCCTATCCCCACCCCCCAGCCCCAGGACCCCCAACCCACACTCCTGGCCCGGCCAGCGGAACCAGAGCAGGTGGGAGGCTGGCGAGCAAAAGGGAAGCAGTGGGGCCCTTGCTCCCTCACTCCCCCCACACAATGGGTGGTGGGCAGAGATTTCATGATTTGCATGCTGAGGAGGATTCAGCCTGGGTCTGGAGAGAAGCGGGGAGCAGAGGAGGGGAGAAGTGGCAGACACAGCCACGCCTCCTGCCTCCACATAATGCCCATAGCTGACGAAGGTGGGGTGCCTCTTCCTGCACTCCCATGGTGGCCCCAGCCTCCAATCTGCACTGAGAACAGGGGTACATTCCATCAAGGATTCAAGGTGTTTCTTTGGAGAAGTGTGGGGGGGTGTGGGGAGGGAGAAGGAGGGCTTACTTTCTCCCAGGGACATTGGGGTCCCCAAAGCTGGGCTGGGAAGAGAGGAGGCAGAAAGGAGGAAAAAATAAAGGTGCAAGCACCACAGAGCAAGGGAAGTGATGGCCACCAAAGGGCAGCAAGAAAAAGGGAACCAGCAAAAGGACCTGAAGGAAATGCCCAAAGGAAGAAGTGGGGGGGAGCCCTCCAGCTCCTCGAACCCAGCTTTGTGGGGCAGGGGAGGGGATTCTAAGCCCTTGATTGATATGCTTCTGTCTCCCGCCCCCAGACTTTGGGGAGGGCCCCATCCCCCCTTATCCTGTGGGAAAATCCACAACAGGTTCCCATGCAGGAGGAAGGTGGGGCCAGGGGCCAGGGACTAAAGGGTCAAATGAGGAGGTCAGAGATCAGAACCAGAAGGCTAGGGGACTGGAAACAGCACCTCTGGGTGCCGATGGTGAGCCTCGCTCTCCGGCAGGGGAACACTGCTGGGGAGGTGGGCAGAAGGGGTTGTTGGGACATCCTAGCTGCCACCTCTGACAAAGACCAAAAAAAAAAAAAAATAAAATAAAAATCACAAAACTTTCTCTCAGCTGCTTCCAGACAGAAGGGTGTGTTGAGGTATCAGAGTTGTAACTCTAGTAATATTTCTGGCCTAGCCCCTTCCAATCTTTCCAGGACAGGGCGACCAGAGGCTCTAGAAGTGGGACATCCTCTGGCCACCGCCGCCTCCCTCTCTCCCCACCCCCTCCTCCATCCCCACCCCACCCGGGGCCCTAAGCACCTAGTCCCAGAAAAATAACTGCTTGCCCCAAAGGCCTTTCTGGAAAACAGTTCATCGCCGGGGATGGGGAGGGGAGTGGGGGCCCTGGGAGGTAGGCCCAGCAAGTGTGGGGCACAGGGCGATTAGGAGAATATTCGGATGGCTTGCGTGGCTGTGATGTGGCAGACGGGACACTCTGGGTCCGTCCTCTCGCAGATGCGCACTGCACACTCCATGCAGAACAGGTTGTGTCCACAGGGCACAAGGGCGGCAGTCACTTCGCTCTCAAAGCACACCATGCAATCCCGTCCGCCACCGGGGCTCCGCAGGCCACCACCCCCAAGCTTCGAGAAGCCCTGCAGCGGCTCTCCAGGCGGGCGCCTCGGGAGTCCGGCCAGCTCCGACCCTGCCGAGGAGGAGGAGGCAGCGGCTGCCGCTGCAGAGGCTGCAGGAGAGCGGTGCGCACCAGGAGGTCCGGCGGCGCGGGCCTTGGCAGAAGAGGAGGAGGATGAAGAGGAAGAGAACAGCACCGAGGTGGGCGTGGCGTTTTCCTGGCCCGCCCAGAGCGGGGGACTGGTCTCGGCCACGCTGTAGTATACGTCCTGCTTGCCCACGCCATAGCCTGGAAACAGGTAGCCGCCGTAGCCAAAGTCTCCGCTTTGCTCGCCCAGGCGTGGGGCCTCAAAGCCGGAGTCCACTCCGCACTCGCCGATGCAGCCCAGGCTGTTCTGCCGGAAGGTGGAGAGGGGCTTGCAGCCCGGTGGGTGCACCCGCCAGGCATCTGAGTAGCGGCTGTCCAGTGCCGCGTCCGGGCTGCCCGCCAGAAAGTCATTTTCATTGTTGTATTCGAGGATCTTGCCCGTGCGCACGGCGATGTGAGTCTCAATTTCCTCGCGCGCACGCTCCACGTTGCCCGGGGCGCCCGTGATCTCAAACACAGGGTCACGGTCACGGCTCGGTGTGATGATGTATGTGTTGGTCTGCTGCTGGATGCGTTTGATGGTCGCCCCCTTGGGACCCACCACCAGCCCCACCACACGGTAGGGCACTCGCACGCGGATGGTCACCTGGCCAGGCAGGGCCGGGGCCACACCAAAAGCGGCGCCTGACTTGTTGCGCGAGGCGCGGATCATAGAGAAATGCTCAGCAGCCGATATGATTTCCCGCCGGGCCGTGGCCACATCTTCCCTGCGACCGGTCACCATAAACACCGGTTCCTCGCCCCGCACTGGTGTCTTGATGTAGGTGTTGGTCTTTGCCCTCAGGGCCTTAATCTTGCAGCCTGGATTCGGGTGGGGAGGGGGTGCATAGAGAGACATACATACAAAACTCAGAATTTGAATATACACACACACATACACACACCCTCCCTCACCCTCATCTCCCCTCCCACCTCCACAATCATTGTAGGGGGTTCAGCTACCTACCCCTGGTGCTCTCTTCAGGACCCTCCCAATCCAAGCACTCCAGGAAACCCCCAAATAATTGCGGACTCTCCTGGAGCACCCCCAGAGTCATCCCTCCCAATGTGCTGCTCCCTCCATTGCTTTTGATTCCCTGGTTACCCATTAATTTCCAATCACTTACCCCTCCCTGTAACGGCCCTCAGGCTGCTCCCTAGCACACTGGGTAATCCCAGGGTCTATCTCCATTCAGTAACGCGCCCTGCCCAGGCCATGGCCACTGGATCCATGTGAACCGAAACCAACACCCCCTCAGCCCCATCTCCCACCCAGCAGTCCCTCTCCCCCACCATTCCAGATCCCAGATTCATACCAAGTTTGCAGCAGCTAGTGGATCTAAGGGGAGAGTCAAGGGGAGGGGGGAGGAAGAGTGTGAAGACACCTCCCTCATTTCCCCTCCAATCCCTGGGGGATGGAAGGACAGAGTGGAGCTGGCAGGGGGGAGGAGGATTGAGCAGGGGGAAGGAGAGACTACATTCTGGACCCACTGCCTGGCTTTGAAGTAGAAGTGGTTCAAGTTGGGACAGAGGAAGAGAAAGAAAGAAGAAAAGCGAGACAAAGAGACAGAGGGAGAAGGGTAGGGAGAAGTGAGAGGAAGGCTGGGTTGGCCACTTCCAAATGGAACCTGAGCCGGTCCAGTGCACAAGCCGGCCTCTCCCTTCCCCATGTCCTCCCCACCCTTTGCTGGAGCCTGGGAGGTATGCACCCTCTCCAAAGCACCAGCCACTGGCACCCAGGCACCTCGGAGTTGCCTCTTCCATCCCCACCCACCCTCCCGGACACACCAACCACATTCCTACGCGCACCCACAACTTTTGCCCCCACTCATTTCAACTGAGCCCACACCCCTCTCAGCACCACTCCCAGCACCTAAGGGTGCTACTTTCCCAACTCTGCTCCAGGTGAGTCCCTTTTCCTGTCCTCCAGAAGGCTTCTTCTCCAATCCTAGCAGATATGGGAGGTGGGAGTGGGGACTGGCTGGGGTGAGAGACCTCAGCAGGGAGCATCTGCCCCACCCCCTTTGTCTCCAGGCTCCTTGGGCCCAGGTGAAGCCCTACCTGTTGTCAAGCCTGCAGCCTTGTTGCTCTAGTGTCAGTCTCCAATTGTCCGCAGCAGTGAGGTGTGGAGGAGGGAGGGTAAGGACCCTGAATCCCTCTCTCTTACCACGCTACGCATGCGTGGTCTGATGGGCACCCTGCTCGACCTCTGGCTAAGTTTGGGGTACATAAAGTTCAGGGTGTCTGGGTGAGGATAGACCAGGTTGGACAAATAAAGGGATAATTGGAGACCAGGGTGCACCTCGCCTTGATTCTGTACCCTGAAAAGGGCCACTCTTGTGGGGCAGGCTCACCAGGCTTCACTTTCCTAGAGGTCGAACGGAGGAGCAAGGGGCAGCACAGCAGCAAGCGCGGGTGGGGGCTACACATGAACAACTCCCCCATCCCACCCCAGAACTTCAGGGAACTGAGGGGACTCTGCTCTTCTCTGCATGGGAGAGCCCCCACCCATCCTTCTGAGGGCCAGGCCCAGAGGATGCATAGGAAGGAGATCCGAGAAGAATCCCTCCCGAGACCACCCACCCCCACGCCCAAGCAGACACCAGCTGTCCCCACCCAGTTCCCGGGCTCCTGCTCCCCCTGTGTCTGACAACAAGAGGAAACCCAACTTTCCAAAGGGGAAATCTTAAGACACTGAGTGCCCTGGTGGGGTTGGAGGGGTGGGAGCATGGGCAGTGCAGGGGGGTGGCAAGTCCCCTCCTTGGGCCCCTGGCTCTCCTAAAGACAAGCCCCTTAGCCCCCAGCACTCCCAGTGGGAGAGGTGGGTTGTGGAGTAGGGCCCCCCAGGCCAGCCTCCCCTACCGTCTGCTGGGAGCCAGCCTCCTCCCTCCCTCCCAGCCGGAATGTAGCTCCTCTATTGTTCCCCACTGTGGGACAGCTCCTCCCCCACCCCACAGCTCCCCAGTCCAGCCCCTTCAACAATTTCCAAAGCCCGCTATCCCCCTCTTCCACTCCCCTTTGGGAAGCAGGAGAAGGAAGGGTCCCCCAAGATCCTGTCTGCTTCGTTTGGACCCTCCCCAGCACCCCCACCCACCTACCTACCCAGCCAACCAGCCGAGGGATGCTGGAGATGAGAGGGTGTGGTATCAGATCCTAGGCTGGATTCATTCTACATTCTGCACCCCCCCACCACCCGGTACACAACCAGATATACACTCCGGCCACCGAATTTCCAGGTGCAGGTTTCTCACCCGCCCTGCCCCAGCTGGCCCGCTCAGCTCCAGCCCACTCTCTCCACGGTCACACATCCCTTTCTAGGCCTCTGGGCCCCAGGCCGTGGCCAGCCCAGAACAAAAGCCAGAGCGGGAGGAGGAGAGCTCCAGAACAGCATACAGCAGCTCCTCGGAGACCCCCCTCTCCAGATGGTGTAACTTCGGGGTGTGGGTGACCATAAGACCCCCACCCACCCCCCCTTCCCTGCGCTGCCTCCTTGGCCAGCCTGGGACCCTCCCCTGAGCCACACCCCCTTCCATTCCAACACTCAGCCCAACAAAGAGACACAGCTTCGAACACTGCCAGGTCTCCCCTCAAAGTCTGCTAACTCCAGGCGACCGTGTGTGTGGGGTGCTCGCGGTGCCCCCTCCCCAGCCCACCCGCAGACTCCGGATTAGGGGTTTCCGAGTAACTCTTTGCACATTCCGCACGTCTCCCCCCCCCAGCTAAGAGCGGACACCCCCTCCGGACAGCCTCCCAGGATTGGGAAACCAGTTCCCCCCTCCCCTTTCCCTCTCCCATTGCGAGGATATTTCTTTGTCTAAGGGCAGAGCCCTGGTGGGTGGAAAGAGGGGGTGGAGAAGGCTCTGGAGAACCGTCCCGACTCGGGGCTAGCGGGGAACTTTGTGGCACTCGGAAATCAGGGGAGGGGGCGGGTCCCCCTTTGTGGGGCAAAGGAGCGAGCGCGCGGCGGGCACGGAGGGCACACATGAACTTTGCGCGCCCCGGGGCCGGGCGCCCCCTCCCCGCCCCCACTCCAGTCCCTCTCCGCGGTCCCGGCGCCGGCTTACCTTGCCTGCCCACGATCTCGGCCACGTGCTCGGAGGTGGGCACGGGGACGCACTCGGTGGTGTTGCTGCTGCCCTTGAGACGCAGCTCGGCCTCTTTGTAGAGCGCGCAGAGCTTGGCGTCGCTCGCCCCTTTGGGGGCGGCGGGGGGCTGGGGCGTCTGCGCCGCGGGGGTCGCCGTCGGGGCGGCCGGGGGCGCAGTCGGCGGCGGTGGCGGCGGCGGCGGGGCCGGCTGCGGGGGGGCGGCCGGCTGCGAGGGGGCGCCGCCCCCCCCACCTCCCCCGTCCTCGCCCGCCGTGGGGGCGGGGGGCTCCCCCAAACCCAGGAGGCAGAGTTGATCGAGAGCCAGCTGAAGGGCGCGCTCGTCTTCCAGCAACCCCCGGTCCTTGGCGCTTCCCCCGAAACATCCCAGTTCTCCAAAGCCCCCATTTCTTTCCATTATTCCAGATACCACTAGACTAGGCATGGCGAAACAAAAGCTGGGGGAGAGAGAGAGAGAGGGAGAGAGAGAGAGGTGGTGGAAGGGAAAAGAGGAGAGAGGAGGGGAGGGGAGGGGAGAGGAGGGGGTGTGTGGGGAGGGGGAACAAAGAACTGGGGAGGGGGGAAGAAAGCGAGATAGAAAGATAGACCCTCCCCCTAAGCCCCCCTCCCCAAACACCCTGTAACCCGACTCCCCTTGCCCCAGCCCCCGGGGTGGGGGTGGGGGGGAAAAGCGAAGCAAAACCAAGAAAGCAGATCTCTCTGCGCTCCTCTCCGGGGGTGACGGGGGGCGGGGGCTGCGGGATCTCTGCCCCCACCCCTGCCCGCCTCGCTACCCGGGAGTCTCTAGCCTCGGCCGTCCAGACGCCCCACCTCCCCCCCGCCCCCAGCTCCAGGCTCCCGCACCGGGCCCCCGTCCTGGAGCGGCGCTCAGTGGCCCCCGATAGAGCCCAGCCCCTTCCAGCGCTCAAACTCTTTTGTTTTAAATGAACTGGATGGAGCAGCATGGAACTGACGGGAGGGGGGCGCGCCGGGGGCGCCCGGGGCATGCCGGGAGTTGTAGTTTCCCGCCCTCGGGGGCGCGGGGACGAATTCCTTGACCCGAGGAAGGATAGAGCTGTTACCCTTGGCTCTCTACCCCGCGGCTCGGAGGCCCAGCTGGAGGGGGAGGGAGGTGTGTGCGGAGGGCATGGAAGTCGAGGTCCCTAATATTTCTGAAGGGGCGGGTGGCGGGAAGAAGGGGACTGTGTGCGTTTGAAAAAAGGCTCCTGCAGCGCGCCACCCCCACCCCTTCCCAACCCCCACTGTTCCCAAGACCCGCTCCCACCCTGGCCGGGCCGGGCCGGGGCCCTTTCTTATGGTAATGAGCGGGCAGGGGGCGGGGAGCGGCGGTCCCCGGCTCGGTCACTGCGGCTTCGGCTCTCCCTCGTCCCCCCCACCCACCATCTCCACACACCGCCACTCACTCCACTGCGCCCGCCGCGCACCCGCGCACCCGCGCCCGCCGAGTGGATCCCCCCGCTTCGGGCCGCAGGGAGAGGGGTTCTCGGCACAGCAGACAAAGCGGCAGCCGCGATGGGATGGGGAGGGGGTGGAGAGCCGGGCCGAGCGCGCTGTGGGGGCCCGGAAGGGGCTCCGGGCAAAGGACTGGGGGTCCCCTCGCGTCTCCGCGGCGCGAGCCTCCTCTTCCCCCACCCACCCCCAGCCTCGGAGAGATGTCAGAGGCGCCGCCTGGGAGGAGGTGAGTTTAAGTTCCCGTCCTTCCGATCGCCGGAGGTGGGGGGTGGAAGGGGTAAGGCCGCGTGGAGGGGAGCGCGTGGGGGGCTCCCCGCGCGTGCGGAGGCGGGACAAGTCTGCGGGACGTGGTGCGGCTTGGCAGTGAGAGCTCTGGGTGTCGCGGGAGGAGGGACGGGACCTCGACTTGGGTGGGAGAATCCAAGCTGCTGTCCCGGCTTTGGACTGTGAATGCAGCTGGGGCGGAGATGGCGGGGCGGGGGGTTGGTCATCCGGTCACTCGCCTTCACCGCTCTCTTTGCCACCGGGAAGCCAGCCCCCTTGGCTCTGCACATTCCGTGAGCGTGGAAAAGAAGTTTGAAGGCTTGCATTGGACAGCTGGACACTTTTGGCGAGGGAGTCTGGGGTGTGTCGTGCACTTTTGTCAGGCCGCCTCAGCCCGAACCTTCAGCGCTTCTTTTGTCACCTTTCTTAGTTGTCCCCCTACCAAGGCACGGAGCGCTGGGGTTCCGATTTTAGGGGCCAACTTTCCCCCCCAGGAGTTTTAGGAGGAGCGATGGGTGAATCACTGTGGGGGAAGAGACCTTTAGTGGGGTGCCTTGGAAATGAAAAACCCCGAGCTTGTCAATTCCTAGATGAGTCCTTGGGGCCGGGAGGGATAGTCATGGGGTGACCTCATCGCCCTGGCGCTCTGAGGGCTGAGCTTGGTTTAGCCCCGCTTCCCTAAACCGCTTCCCTAAGCCGATGATTGGAAAGAGTGAATTTGCACAAGAAGCGGAGGGCGGAAACCTGTGCTGTGGATACTAGCTAGGGTGGGGTGGAGGGGGTTGTCCCTTGTTCCTAACCCTGAGAAGGGGAGTGGTGCCTCCCTGGATAGGAAATTGAGCCTAAGAATAACTCCAAACCTTACCCTGGTGGGCAGCTACCCTACCGCCTCCTGTGGAGCCAGAGTGGGAAAGGAGGGCCCAGGAGTGGGGAAGATCCTTGCCCCCCAGCGCTGTCTGCCTCCACCCCCTCCAGGAAGGAACCTGCTGGGGGACACCCCACCCCCCGTGTGGTGCACGCGACTGTTTTCAGAGAGAGCTATGGGCTCTGTTCCCACCGCAAGGATAGTGGAGTTGTAGCTGTCGCCTCAGACGTCCCAACCTACCTTAGCTCTGCCCCCTCCAAACTAATTAAAGGAGAAGGTTAATGACCAGAGAAGCCCCAGAGATTTGGCCCTCGAGGAAAACCAAGGGCAGAAACAAGGCTGTGGGAAGGGAGACCGGGCCAGGCAGCTTCCTGCTGGGTCCACTTAGCTGACCCAACCAACAGCTGGGATTGGTTAGCCCTCTGGGTGCGTTCAAGTCCACGCTCAGGGTCCCACAGCGACTGCAGACAAGCATTCTCTGAGACAGACGGGAGCCTGCCGCCTGGAAGGGGGGGGGGGTACACCGGGTATACACAGTGCCCAGCTGGTGCCCAAGGGTATCCTTCTCTCTCCCCAAGGCTGATGGCCTTCTTTGTTCAGGACCCCCACCCCGTTCTGCTTCCTACACTGGCAGTCCTCCAAGCCAGGCTGAATTTGTGTCTCCTGCCTGTGGCCACTCGGTCCTGAGTGAGGATGTGAGAACAGAAGACCTTAAACACCACTACTGCTCGAGCTCTGCGCTGTGGCCAGAAACGTGGGTGGGTGGCACTTTAGGAGGTTCGACTATTGTCCTGACACCGCCAGCCACCCAGCTCCCAGCCACAAAGCCCTGCCCAGCGACGACGAGGCTCAGGAAGGCTGTGGTGGGTCTAACTGCATCTCCAAAACTTTAGGGTGGAGGAGTAGGGAGCAAGAGGTCTCTGGAGCTAAACATGTGGCTTATTTGACCATTCTGCCACTCGGACGGTCATTGATGGCCTCGCCTGGAAGCGGGGCGTCAGATGCCAAGTTGCCAGCACCAAGTTCCTGGCTCATGGCTGGTCTTTAATCAGTGCCAGTTTCCTGGCAGTGGTTTTTTTTTTTTCCTCCTTTGCAGCTGACTTTAGCCAGATGGTGTTCGCTCATTCATTCATTCAGCCAACCACTTCTCATGGAGCTCCTGGGATGCCGCCTGGCACTGGGGGAGGTTCTAACCTATCGTGAGTCATTTCTAGGCTTAGACCTGCTGCAATAAGATCATCCCAAGTGAACAGCAGGTGTTTCCAAAAATAATCCCTGTTACACACTGGGCTGCAGGTGAACCCGGTCTCTGACACACACACACACGCAGAGGCCAGCCTCACCTGGTGTCACACCTGAGACAAAGGACCCTGCAGTTTCTGAGTCGTGGACTGTCAGGAAGCACTTGGGAAAGTTTGTGGGATTATAGAGAGAAATGAGAAGGGTGCTTTGGTGTAAACAAGGCTGAAATCTCTGCCTTCAATGACGCCGTTTTCAAAATGTTCACCAAAAGGGCACACCATATGTAAGAACTATGTGTGGATTTCAAAATGCTTGCACTGAAAAAATAAAAGGTCTGGTCCCATTTTCCATGCACTGGTGGAAGAGCCGTGAGGTATGTCTGTGTGTCTGGGCACGCCCGCAGGCTGCATGTGGAGCCGGCGTGGGGGACTGGAGTGGCGCTAGGGGAGGACCACGTTGTGTGCTGGGTCTCCTGGGAGTAAGCCCCGGCACCTGCACCTGTTAACATCACGTAAATCCGCAGCTCCCAGGGGCTGGGCTCCCCCTGTTGCTTTTTCCCTCTTCCTCAGTCTAGTTCTCAGAGCCCCCCAGGGTGGGAGGTGGGGGAACCACCCCTGCCTCTGACAGAGATGGGGCCTATCTCCCTGCCTCACACAGGACACCCTCACCATCTGTCTTCACTGAGCTTCCTGCTCCATGCTTCTTTGTGAGGTCTGTCTGTCTTTTTGTTTTCTTTTCTTTTTCTTTTTTCTTTTCTTTCTTTCTCTTCCTTTCTTTCTCTCTTTAACACTTCTCAGGAAAAGGAGTAGTAATTTTTTTAAAAAAGATTTATTTTTATTAGCAAGGCAGATTTGTAGAGAAGCAGAAACAGATCTTTCATCCACTGGTTCACTCCCCTAATGGCCATGATGGTTGGAGCTGAATTAATCAGGAGCTTCGTCCCAGTCTCTGATACAAGTGCAGAGGCCCAAGGACTTGGGCCATCTTCCACCACTTTCCCAGGTCGTACTCAGGAAGTTGGGTGGAAAGTAGAACAGCCGGGACACGAACCAGCGCCCCTATGGGATGTTGGTACCACAGGTGGAGGCACAGCACTCTTTTATACCCCTTCCTGGTGGGAATCCCGCCTTGCTGTCATCTTCAGGGCCCAGCTAGTGTTGCATGCTGTCTGTGCATTCATTTAAACCAGTGAGGACACGTTGGGTACAATTCTGCTACCAGAGAATCCTCCAACCTGGTCCCTGCCCTCAGCGAGACAGAAGCCGGCCCACGTGGTGCAGAGAAACGTGGCCAGCCCAGGAGGACGTGTGGGGGTGACCCAGGCTCAGACTGGGAAGTCACCGTGGTTCTTGGCATGTGGATCCGCAGGCCCTGCCCCTGGTCTGCACCTGGACACATAGCCCTGCTTTTCCTTTGGGACCACCTGATCCTCTTCCTCCTCCTCTCCACTCCCCCCCCCCCCAACTGTCTGGGTTTTCCCGCAGGGGAGAACAGTTCACAGGGGCTAGGGTGGAGCCTGCCCCTCCCCCTCCTGGCCCCAGACCCTACGGACAGCTGGCTGCCAAGGCCCCTATGGGCCTCGGGGCTGCTCCCAGGCATCC